ATAAAGTGACAGCTGTTATCTATATTTACAATTGAAACTTTATTTTAATGTCAAGTAGCAGTGTAAGTCTCATAACAACGAGAAATTGAATTAAAAGTAATAACGTCAGAAATTTATCATATTCTCAAACATCACATCGTTATTTTACATTACAGTACATTCAATATTGCAAATAGTACATTTAATATACACTCACCTTTCAAGAAATTACACCATAGCCACGTATTGTAAATGGTTAATGGCACTGACTTTTTTGATGTTGGGATTTTTGGCGCAGAAGATGATGAAACACGTCTTCGTCTGTGCTGTTCAACAGTTGGATTTATTGTGGCACGACTTACTGTGGTTTATTTTAAAGAAATCTTTATCAGTTTCTTTTCACATAAGACTCAACGGTCTAGTGGTATACGACTTAGCTATTATTGGAAGCTTAGATTTTTGTCACAATCGACAGCCAACACGACGTAATAATACAATTAATATTTTCTATAAAATGCTTCTTAAAGTTTAAAGGTTTACAAATAATCTTAAACTTGGTGATGAATTTACAATAAAAATAATAAACAATTTATTGACATAGCGTCGTATCTATGTCAATAAATTGTCAAGTGGAGACATGTTATTCAGAAACCGAAAAAAATGTCATAATAATTATTTTAATTCTCCAAAATATACTACATTTTAAAGTCTCCCATATCTCATTTAAGATTTATTATGTGTTTATATGAGTATATTTTGTTTTAATTGTCAATAAATAGGTAGTTTAACCGAAAGTAATAAAAAGTTCACTATTTCATTATGTTTTCGAACGCATAGTTCATTCAATAAGATGTTGAATTCGTTCTTAAGTGCACATCCTTATTTACGTTAGGATGACGTCACTAACGTAATCGTATCGAGCTCTCGATACCTTAACGTTAGTGCTTCGTGCTACCGCTTATCGTAAAACTCCGTTAACGTATCGAGGACTCGAAACGTTTACGATACGCATTCGAAAATTTTTCGTGCTCGGGGCACAGGTCAGATATCTGAGCACAGATGACAATCCAAGTACTGGATATGTGTGGGGTGATATATTTATGAGACATGTACAGACACGCGAACCTATGAGCACAATGTAAAGTGAAAAAAGGCCACTGTACAACCCCGCATCTATCAACTTCCGCATACAGTTTTAAAGGATAAAATCACAGATTAACACGACGTTGCTATAACTCAACGCATTTCTCTTCTTCCTAATTTATTTTACTTTTTACTTTCTCAAATTCATAATCTTAAAATGTACTTATATTTTTTTAATTTATTAGGAGTAATAAATTATTTTATTGCTTAAATATTGTTTTATTTCTGTGAATATAACTGCGACTAAGTACAAATGGTCCCTGTTGCAATTATATTGTAAAATACAATTTCTCTGAAGCAAAAATAACTGTTCGATTGTTTAATAGCCGTGATATTAATCAATGCCACCAATTTCAATTCCAATGTCCAATAAAATCCAAACTCAAGTTATCGATATTCATGTAAGTAAGACATCATTTCTATAGTCTCGCATACATTTACAAGCCCGTATGTCTATAAAATCTTCCCATTTGAACAGGAGAGTGCTAAAGTCAGTCATGTGATAATAAGACGCTTCTTGGACCCGAGAGATAGTGTGGAGCGTCAATTTTTAGAACGCCAACGCCCAATCACTCAATCATCAGGCTACCTACTATACCACGCTGGCTAAACGGATATGGTTATGATAACTGGTGCAGAATAAATTTCATGTCTTCGTTGAAATGACAAACACTAACGATTGCCACCATTTGCATCATACTTTATATGAAAATCAAATGAATCTGAATAAGGACTATCTAGTACCTATTAAACATATATATATATATATGTGTGTGTGTGTGTGTGAGTAGACAGATCTATATGGGTACCATTATACATTATGTTATGTAACACACCATCATTATGTATAATTACAATAATTTACATTTATTAGAAATAAAATAAATGAATTATGTTTCTACCAATTTTTTTGCCTTGTTTTTGCATTATATAATAATAGAAATGTTTGTTAAGTTGTTCCTGGAAAACTTTGCTTATTATTCGGTTAAAATTACTTTTAAGTGGGCGCTCAAGCAATGTATGTCGTAAAGTGTAAGCGTATCAGGCACCCACAGGACACGCTTGCCTAGTGTGGAGCCACCGGCAATATTGTCAGTAATTAGTTACTTGGAATTATTTATTTTTAATTATTTTATTTTGTTACAGGGGTATATGACACTCGCGATGTATGTTCACTATTTCGTACCGGGCAGTCTTAAAATACGGACAAGACTTTACACCGTCAAATTGGGTGAAATCGCACCCTTTATAGGTCATCCTCAATTAAATTTAGACAGTATAGGTCCTACTAGAAGAACAGATGGTAGATGGTTGCCGACTAGTGAATGGCCTTACCCTGGGTACTGCAGAATGCCGGCTACTTCGCAATGCTTACCAACACTGTGTAACTGCAAGGGTCTCAGTCAACGATGGGAAAGGTATTTATCGACACAAAAGGAACAAGAAGGAAGGAGAAAGAAAAAATTAAGACAAAAAAACTAAAGTTGTGCTAATATTTTATTGGAATTATACACATTCCATTTTTTTTTTATTCTTCTATCTTACACAGCCATTTCATAAATCAAATTCGTAAGTGCGTTTTTTAAATATAACTGACAGTGTTGAAAGCAAGTAGTTCATAAAAGTATAAAAATGTTTAATTTATATTATATTAGACAATTGGTAGATGTCTTATATAAAATAAGGTTTTTAAGATATACAGTATAGAGATAGAAATGTTCAAATGATGATAATATATGGCTAAGTCGATTATTATTATTATTAATCATCAACTAGAGCACAATTGATTGATGAACGATATGGGTATAAGCTTAAGTAAGCCCATTGCCATCAACTAATGAACTTACTTTACTTATCTTTTTTGTGTTTTTATAACATAATTGATATAAAACAAATTATCTAAAGGAATCTAAATTAATAATCCAGTTGACAGAAGGTTGTATATTTTAAAGAGCTCGACTATTATCGATACCGCTTTGTGGGTAACTTATATTAGTAAAAAGATATTGATCTAATAGTTGTTATATAGTATATATGGACGAACTACATTTAGTAATATTATCAATTAATTTAGGCATCACTATTAAAAATATAACGTATAGTATAAACTTCAAATTCCTAGAAGTAATGTATAGGTTAATAAATAGATATTAATATATATGTATAATAAGCAACTTAACTAGCATGAAGATCTAAAGATAGTTACATCTTTTTGTGACGTATCATACCACTCGCATTTCGGGCGTTTTTACCAAACAATTATAAACAACAATTAGGGCTTTTCAAGGGTCCGTGTGGTGACGGATTAAGAATACAGAGTGTCACCACCCCTATTCATCCCGTGGGTGTCGTAAGAGCCGACTAAGGGAGAAAACTACGCAGAACAAAAGCACTGCAGAGAGAAGAAAAACTTGACACAAACCATATTTCAACCCGTCTGGCCAGCGTGGTATAGTAGGCCAAAACCTCCTTTCTAAGGAGAGGCATATATCTAGCAGTGGCTTGTTAAAGGCTGTTAATGAAAGCGGAGAGGCCTGTGTCAGCAGTGGACTATTAGAGACTGTTGATGATGATAAGGGTGTTTAATTTACCAGCAGGTCAATTCTCGTAATAAAAAATTGGTTCAAAATTCAGTTTCGATATACTCTCGATCGACAGTCATAAGGTAATCTCGTAGTAAAGTATTACTTAGACTAGCACAATACCGACTCAACTTTCTGTCTCAATACGATATAATCACATTACAGTCAACGCTGGATGTTTATACGTTGGCATTTGGGAGATCGGAACTGAATTTAAACAAATTTTTAGTACGAGAATTGACCTTCTGGTATTACGTACCTGTACCATTATTAGTCCACCTGTGACCACGGCCAGTGTAAGCTGGTCGAAAAGTCAGGTAATTCAAAGCTATGTACCTTTACGTGATTGCGGTAATTATCATGTGTGTAAATATTCAGCAAGTTGGCATTGTGTATAAAAATTTAAAATAACAACATTTTTTTTTATTTAAAAACATTTTTATTTGATTGAATTTTTATTTGGGTATAGGTATTAAAGGGAAATAATGAATTAAATGTTACTTTAGGGGTATTATTTTAAACATATAAAGCATTTCAAACTGAGATCATGGAACGCGAAACTTTAACAGTGAGTAATGAGAATATATTTTATAAGAAGTTCCCAAAGATATCGAAGCTATTATTACTTCAGGCTACTGTTCTGCAAAGTTGCGGGACGTCGATGTTAAAAGCCTATTCTGTTACACTATCCTGTGTCTGCACATCTTTAGGATGAGAAGAATAGTTCTCGGAGAAGAGGAAAAACATAGTTTAAAAACACTAGGCATAAAGGTTTCACTGTTGTTTCTTATTAAGCAATAGACATGGTTTAGCATAGACCTACATACGGCTCTATTCATAAATACAGAAAAATTGTGGAAGAATTCAACCGACATGAAAACCATGCAAAATTAAAAAAAAAATGGTTAACGTAACGATCGGATAAAATGTTATCTGGCATTGCTTATATAATGCCTTCAGTGCTACTCTATATTAATACCAGCATGGGTTACATCCATATCACCATTATGTAATCAAGATTATACCATGATATATGTTACTCTTAATACGTGAACAGGGTTTCACAATTAAATATTCAATAAGATATTGGTACGCTTAGTACAAAATATTTAGCGCTTGAGTACACCTATAAATAACTACTATTACATAGTAGAGAAGGAAGTCATTTGCCAGGGTGTCAATATGCGTAAAACTTTTTACACGAAGTTAGCGATATAATAAATACTTCATGCACCGCCACTCCTGTCTATGGTGACATCTAACACTGCACTTTGCACCTCAGGCAGTCCATAGAGCTCAATGAGGCATGATGTCATGCATGGCGTACCGCCAGGTCCAGTTCCTCGCGAGCGTTTCAAATCTCTGTCGATCACGAACATACATTTCACCCAGTTCAGGTTCCATGCACACCTGGTAACAAATTATACGAAATTAATTATTATTATGGTGCTTTGTAGTATTTATTTAAGGTATTCAGTTTTCCCCACGTGCGACACCAGTCTTAACTCCCTGAAAAGGAGCCTGTAAATGTAAATGCAAGCCACGAAACCTTTTTTTTAATTTCTTGCTAATTCATACAATAATATGTACATAATAATTTACTACGTCTATTCCGTATACACAAGAAATATATTATAAAATAAGCTGAGGGACTCTCAGCTTATTTTATAATATATTTCTTGTGTTCCTTTTATATACGTTTTATGTACGCTTTGAATCGGTAATAAACAATCAAAATGTTCATGAAGAAATTTATCTCCAGTCGCGTTTATTTGTGACCAGTCTAGTTTAGCATTAAACGCTGTGGCACAAGCTCTTTATGTCAGACAAAATATGACACATATTTGTATGTATGTAAAATATTTTGTTAATATTACACATATTACATAGTGATATGAGACTTACGGCGGTATACGGATCTGTAAGTAAGCTCTGAATAGAAATGAGCACTTTGCTGATGGTGAGTGCGAGGGACCAGTTGTGGTGCACGGAGTCGATGCCCACGTCACCGTGTCGAGAGATGTTGGGATGCAGGATACGAGTTAGGAAGCGTACCACCGGAGGGCTCATCGGGTACCTAAGAAAATACGAGGAATAAACAATATGGTGTTATTTTACATAGACACATGAACTGACGCTATATTTCGCAAGGGCAGATCTAGTTGAGGCTATTTCATACAATTTCAAGCAGGTAATCGAACTAGAGCTTGTCGTTTGCGCATCTACTAGACGTTAAGCGGACCGAGGACAAAAAATGATCGCGAGACTTCGAGCATTTTTTATCGTGTTCAAACATGTGTGCACTTAATAGCAATAGCTTGAAAGATTATTTTCGAGTGCCTTCAAAACATCCCGCTGCCTCCTACCGGTCTACGCTGATCCTTTAGTGCAGACCAAAGCAAGTATTGTACACTCTAAAAACATGCTAAAAACAGTTTACAGTAAATTAAAGATAAAACTTACGCATATGGCACCTGTATGTAGAGATAAAAGACCCCTCCCTCGTAGGGCGAGCCTACCGGGCCGGTGACGCTCGCCTGCCAGTGACAGCACTTTGCATCCAGCGGTGTCGCCGCTATACCTTCTGGTGGATCATTACGCAGCATCTGCACAATCAAAACATCATTCATGTGGGACATTTGTCATGGCGAAGTCAAGAAAGGAAGTCTTGGATCTGCCGTTGGTTATTATAGTTTTTTAATTCTTTTTTTATTTTTCTTTTCTTTAAAAAAAAGACAACGCCGCACTAGGCATATATCTCAGGTCGCGGAAACTTTACAAACATTCATTTCACATTCACACATTTACACATTTCAAACATGATTTTGTTAATATGTTGTCTAAACTGTGAATGCTGTGTTAGCTCGTAAGTGGCATGTATATCTGAACCTTATTACTGAGATTTTACCATTAATGTTACATATATGTGCTGTGAGTCAACCTAATAAATAAATAATAATAATAACATTCATGAAACGGACACAAAGAACATCCAGACTCAGAACAACAATTTGTAGACCATATGGCACGTGTGGGGATCGAACCCACAACACAGAGCGCGGTAGGAAGCCGCAAGGTACCACCACTTAAACCACTACGCCATCCATCCATTCAAACTAAGCAGTTAAGCAGAATGTTAGATTGACTAACAGAAATGAAATGTCAGTAATGTATATTCGGGGAATCGTAAAAGCACAGGCAATGTTTATTCATTTTATATGTTTTGATTGTTTGGTAATAAGTTGCTTGCTTCGTTGGCATCAATATAGCTCTTCATTCAGGTATAGAAAGAAACCTCATGGAACACATGGAAACATAACAAACAAACTTACATTTTCTTGTAACAACATGGGGAGCTAATTTGATATTAACAATAATATCATTTTTCGACAGTATCAGTTGCTATTAGTAGTTTAGTATACAATTAACGGTTTAAAACGAATGCTAATCAGGAAACATTTAGACTTTTAAAACAGGTTTTGGTTAATCTTCGTTCCCTTACAGTAACATATTCATACTTAACATTATATTTACAAATGTATGTAATGCAAGCTTGTACCTTTAGTTCAATTCTGAGCCTGTTCCGCCGCCAAGCATTTTCTTCGCCAGCGGGTTGCGCTTGCACACACATCTGCACCAGACAGTTGCGACAGAAGCACGACTCCACCAGAGATTGGTATTTCTGTAATTTATGTGTATTTTGTCATCATCATTTATACTCGCGCCATTATTAACACTAAAATTTGGAGGCCTTTGTAATCGTCTTATACAGAAGCACTGTAATATTTTGGCGACTGTAAGGTTCTCAGTGGGTCAGTGACCCACTGACCCACCGAGACAACCTTACATTATAAGTATAAAGTTGCCGCCACTAGACCACTATGATCATACCTAAGGCGACCTACTAATGCCTAGCACCGATGAAACTGCAAAAACTGGTATTTACAAAATTCTAATATGTAAAATGGAGATATTGGTAAATTTCTATCAAATATCATGCAAAGAATTCACAAGTTGAGTCGCAAAAATATCTTATAACCAAGACAATCAATTATTTCTTTGCAACTTTACCGGCGATATGCTACTATTAGTGAAGGCTGAAGGCTATCTTCAATAGTACTACCTATTGTATGTGTGTGTGTGTGTGTGTGTGTACTGTGTATAGTACATATATTTAAACACTGTATCGATAGGTGTTAAGTAGTGTATGAGTATAATACCTTGTGCCAATCAATGTTAGCAAGCAGTGGTCTGTAAAGCGGAAAGCGCCGCGCTGTGAAGCCGGCCCACCGCGGGGGTGACACGCGCGCGCGCACCAGCCGCCACCACCGGTCGCACACGCACGCGCACGCGCAAAGCGACAAATCATCCAGATAGCTGAATATGCTCAGCAATACTATGGACAAAAGTTCACTTTTACGGTATAAAATTAAATATTATTTTTATTCAATTTTTTTATTTAAACTTAAACTCAGGATCCATCAGAAGTAAATTAGTAGGTTAGTTTATTCCAGGCTTTGGAAGGGTATGGCTATTCATGATTGGTTAATGTGCATCACAATCACTAAAAGTTTGGTCTTGCATATAAAACCACCCACTTGATTTGAGGGATTATTAATACATTTGTCTTTACCTATGAAGTTGGAGATTTTAAAACCAGCATTTTCAGATGCAATATCTGTGGATTGGCGTGAAATTCAAAATTCAAAATTTTAATCGAAATCTACGTTGTTTTAATTTAAAACACGAAACATTAACGACGTGTACGGGCCTAACACAGCTAGTATTAACACGGTCTATTATTGGTTCAATCGTTTTGGATCTGGAAATGTAGAGTTGAAGAACGAGCCTCGCGGCCGGTAACCATAGTTGACAACGACGAACTGAAGGCGATAGTGGACGTGAATCCAACTAAATCGACGGCTGAGCTCGCTGTGGGCTTTGGAATTCATGTCAAAACAACCTTGAAGCACTTGCGTCGAAGCATTGCGAATCATGCATAGCACTACTGAATCGGCATAGAAACGAGAGAATTCTGAATCAAATTGTTACCTGCGATAAAAGTTGGATCCTGTACGAAAACTGTAAGTGTTAGTCTCAGTAGGTGGGTAATCAAAAAAGATTCCCCATAGGAAGACGATGGTGACTGTCTGGTTAATCAGTTCCGGACTAGTTTAACACAGCTTCTTACCGAATGGCACAGCAGTGACGGCAGATGTCTATTGCCAAGAATTGCAAACAATGATGGAGAAGCTCGCAATTCATCAACCACGACTGGACTTAACAGCGCGCGAGCTCACACTTTACGACAGACCATCGCAACGCCTATGGTAGCGCCACTGTTCTCAACAGATTTCTACTTTTATCATTATTTAGACAATTTTTTTAATTAATAATTTAATTAAAAAGATCAACACCCGAAAGACAGCACAAAACGCTTTTGCTGTCCACTAGACTTCTACAGCAAAGGGATAAACAAACTGTCATCAAAATGGCAAAACTGTATACATAATGTGGGCCAGTACCTTAATTAGCTAAAATGAAAAAAATACCAAAATTTTCATACAAATCTCAAACTTCATAGGTACAGACACACACACAGAGACACAGGTTAATACACATGAACAAAACTTTTGACCACTTCTTTTAAGATAGTTTCACTCACCTTCAGAGGGCAGCTGTTCTACTAATCCAGGAGCAAGATTATCTGGTGGTCTTGGGGTAGATAGTGCTTGGAGTGAACAAGCGAGGTTGGGTGGAGGTGGTGGTGGTCCAAGACCTGCACGCTCTTCCGCAGAACCATCTGAGTGACCCCCTCCTACAACACCACTACTTGCGCTACTACCCGCGTTCGCATTCTCTGTCCCACGGTTGCCACCTACACCACCATTTCCGACTGCAGTGGGAAGAACGCGTATTGGGCCTCCGAATCCACTACTTCCACTTCCAACTCCACTTCCGCCAATATTGCCTGCAACTCGCCCTGAACCAACTCCACCGCCTGTACTTCCACTGGTTGATCCTCGACCAAGTCCACTTCCAGTGTTTACAGAGCCAGCACTTGCTGCAGCAGTTGGTGCTCCACGATTAGTCCCTCCCCCAGAATTGCCAGTGTTCCCATTACCAGCTCCAATACCGCGACCACTTCCTCCCACCCCACCACTACTAGTTCCAACACTCAAATTTACAGGGCCAGCACTTGCTGCAGCAGTTGGTAGTCCACGATTAGTCCCTCCCCCAGGATTGCCTGTGCTGCCATTACCAGCTCCAATACCACGTCCGGTTCCTCCCACCCCTCCACTACTAGGTCCGACACTCAAGTTGCTACCAGCAGCACTGCCAGCAGCGCTGGCCACTCCACAGCTGTTACTACCACTTCCACCATTGCCACTACTGCTTGCTCCAGTTCCCGAGTTACTTGCACGACTAGCCTCATCTTCAGGACTCGTTTCGCTGTCTAATGAACTCTGAAAGAGTTATAATAATAATAACTTCACACATCTCACACACAGTGGTCTGATCCCAAACTAGGCAGAGCCTGTGCTATGGCAACCACAAACATACTTAAATATTTCTAAATACATACACACATTAGATAAATTACACAAAGACACAGATCAAATAATTGTGCTCGTCACACAATAATTTGTCCTGGGTGGGAATCAAACCCACAACCTCTGGCTTAGCAATCAGGGGCGCTAACCACTAGACAAAAAGCAAAAAAAAAGCTCTCAATGCCCTCATTACCTTGGCAAGAAAACAGTAGAATACCTTTATACTTTAAATCCTTAATCATATTTCTCTACTATACCCTCTATCAAACAGTGAAAATATTAAAGATGATTTTAGAACAAAGAGATAACATGGTAGTCTTCTAGCCAATAAGTATGTAAGAATATAAGTTTACAGAGTAAATTTGTGGTATAATATCTAACCTATGCAGTATGTTCAATACAAGTATACAAGGCTACTTATAAACTACTAGCTACACCCTGCCATGCTTTGCTGTTGCATATTATGGTTGCAAAAAATAGATATAAACCATCTTTGAAATGTTTTATATATTGTTTCCAAGTTTGAGCTGAATCGGTGCAAACATGATCGGTAAAACAAATTAACATTTTTATATATACATATATAGATTCTAGTATTGAGAGACATGCCAAAATACCCTTTATAATATAATAATAATTATGATTTTTAGAAGCATTAAAAATTGGTCAAAACCTGTACTTACCCTGTAATACCACCAAGCAGGTAGGGGGCATGCTCTGTTCACTTTCCGTTCAGAGCTAAAGTTTAGATCTGAAGGTTCATCGTTCCCAGAATCGCCATCATCAGTCTTTTCACTACAGAAGTATGATGTGGGCAAATACGATGGGAAGTCAGGGAAGAGAAATGCATGACAAGTAGAACACACGGGCTCGCCAAAACTAGGACCATAGTAGCCATTACAAATGTAACATGTTGAATTCTGTGAAATAATAACAACTGTGAAATTTAAAAAACAAGTAAAGGTATCCATCTATAATGCTTTTATAGTTGTGTGTTACGCACATTAAATTCAAAGTCAAGCTGCTGTTCAAAAGAAGTACTGGTAGTAAGTTTGTCACCGTTTTCTTCTAGTTTCTTGAGAAAGTGGAAGAATTCTGGACCCATTGCAAACATTGTTCAAGTTGCTAAATTTTGAAAAGTATCCACTGTATTATTTGAGGAATGAGATTTATAATGACTTTTATTTTTAAGGATAATCTATATTGTAATTAAAGATTTTATATAGGTAAATATTAATGTTTTAGAACTCAAAATTATTTAATAAAACTTGTCATTTAAAAATCAACAATAAAGATAGATATTTTTGACACATTGTTGACATTGCAAACTGGCATTGCCAGTGCATAAAATAGTCTCTTGAAAAAGACTTAGAGCGGGATCGCCATAGAGATTTAAGCATAGAGAGAACATGGGGTAAAGCTAAATGTAAGTGGAAGCGATACAGCCAACGAGATACATGGATGCCCGACAGTTCCCTCTGTCTCTGTTTAGCTAAGCTGCAATTGGCTATCATTAAGGGCTCATGGTTTTGATTTTAGTTGTAAAAAACAAGTTAGCTACAGTTATTTAACCAAATTTTCGGTTAACTACCCATAAAATGCAGTTAATAATGGCAAATTATCCGACTGCAACCTATAAACATGGTACTGCAATTGTAGAATTTTAAGACATTAAATACAAACGTAAAAAATATGTATATAATCCAACTAATGCTATGAAGTACAACGATTAATATCTACTAATGCATATGTGAATTGTTACAAACATTTAACATGAAAATATATTCAAGTATAAGTGAACCGCTCACCTATGTTTGAATAATGAAAAGTTAAGCATTTGTATGATTTTAGATTTTAGGTGATTTTAATTTTAGGAATTAAGACTATTAGTTTTTAAAATAAAGGGGTTATTTAAAAAAAAAAGTAGTAACTTTATATATATTTAAAAGTAAAAGTCTAAAAGGAGTTTCTTTGCATTTACAAGGATATCAACTGCAACAAGGGGTCTATCATTTAATACATTAAAGATCATATACGGAGCTACTTATTTAGGTTCTATGTGCTATGATGCACTTGTATGGACCGTATACGCTGTCCGTCCCAAACTGTTCAAACTCAAACTCTCTTTATTTCATAAAATTTTTAAAATAGTCTGAAATCGTCTTTTATGTAGACTCTAAAATCATAGATCAACACACACAAAAGCAACAATCTCTGTTTTGTCAAATAGTAGTCAAATAAATTTAACAAAAATCAAACCCATACAAAATCTATGATATGCCTGTGCCGATCAACAACCGCTCGTTTCCAAGGGGTTGAACCTTATGAGAAGAAAGAGCAAACAAACTCATGGCAACTCTTTTGCAATTCACAGATAGATACAATGGCACTATTAAATATACCACAACATTGTTTTGATGTGTCCTATTTTGTCCGTTATTAAGGACTAAAAGGTAAAAAGACAATGAAGAGAGAACAAGATAAAGAAAAAAAAAAACGAATAAAAGAGAAAATGAAGTGAAACATAAAAAATAGAAAAAATAATAAAAATTAAAAACACACTAGCCACTTCACATTTTTACTTAAGAAAGAAATAGCCTTTGCTAATTAATCCCAAGCATTCTTGTCTTCCATGTAATCCACAATTGAGTAGTAGGCGCTCTGGCACAAGCCACGTTTTATTGCGGATTAAAATTTGTTAATACTTAACTCTTGAATATTATTTGGGATTTTATTATAAAATCGGACACATTGACCTCGAAGACTTGTTTATCTTTTGGAGCCTAGAGGCAGGTACTACAAGTTTATTTCAATTTCTGGTATTTATAGAATGTACATTACTTTTTTTTCAAAAAGCTATCTTTGTTTTTATGAACATATATTACATTTTCATAAGTATATTGACTTGCCACAGTCAAGAATTTTTACCAATTGAAATTACGAAACGAACTAAAATATTAATTTATAACTTCAACCCGTTTTGTATAATTTGTTCAACCTTTTATCCAATATTTTAAACGGAATAGGAACCCGAGATACTGCTATATAGGTTTAATATAGCTAAATTAGGCAAATATTACTTTTACCTAGCTACCTACGATCCTGATCTTTTTAGTGACAACCCTTGCACATTTTTAGTCGAGACAATCTAGTAGGTATTTAGCGGTCTATCATAGGAGTTGACTTACTATTATTCCGATAGCGATAAAATTTTAATGGATATCATTTAAACTGAATACTTTTTACTAACTTTTAAACTTTCGCGTTCCATGATAATTAATATTATTTAACGGGAATTAACGCGATCTCTTATTTAGGGTATTACATACCTCTGGTTTGCCCCTTCTGTAATTGTTAGACTTACACCTTCTAATGACTTTTATTTAATTAACTCGTAAATTATTATATGTACGACGCTGAAATTCTACAGGTAGACAACTGAACTAAACAACTAATTATTGGCATAACATTCAGTTTATATATCCACACACAGGTTTATCGGTGGCCAAAAAAGGCCGCACACATTGTGATCGTGAACGTGGAGAGCTACATTTCATCATAACTTTTTAGTCACTTATAGTATTCTTACGAAAATTCGTATACATTTGAAGGTAGTACAAGCAATAGAATAACGTTTGAAGTAAGTCTTTAGAGGTCTTATTTAAAGTGTTAGGACGTATTGAAGTGTTTTCATACTTACCTAAATAATTTTTAAACGGTCCATTATTTTTGTTATTTTATTGTCGAACAAATTAAAACTAATCCTTAAGAAGTTATGTACAAAAGATGGTTACAATCCGCTTACCCGTTTCAGAGATCCAGCAAACCCACAAACGTTACTCCAGCAGGATTTCGAATAACTTCGCAGCCGAAGAAAATACAAATACCAAATAAGTTGTAACATTTACCTAGTCCAGATAACTAATTATCTAGCTAAAATTTATTTCAATATTACAATTAAAAAAGAAAATGTCTGGCTGCGGTAACGTTTCAAACGTTACCCCAGCAGGAAATGTTTTTTTGAAATAACTAAAAAAGTTTAAGTGAAACAAATTTAAAAATGTGCCTAACAATTACAGAAGGGGAGCAACTAATTATCTATAACGTTTAAATGACCATTTTCGACATTATTTTGCTGGGGTAACGCACACGTTCAGTAGTTTTGACAATCCGTTTTTGATAATCAACTTGTCGTTGACTGTACCTACACACTTCGCTTAGTTTAAGGCCGAATGGTGGTGCGAAAAAAAGTCGTGTTGAGCAAGACGACAATTTTATAGTTTTTTCTGAATATATTTTTCTAGGTTAAAAATAGATTCAACGAATTTTTTTTAACCACTGGTATCATTTATGCACTCACACTAGGAAGGCGGAAACTATCAATGACTATTTCTGACGTAAAGACGGAACTATCACGCACACTTATATTGAGAACTCGGCTCATTTCTTTTTGTTCTAAAGCTCTGCTCAAAGCATTCATCACACAGGTTGTAGAAATAAAACAACAGCTTCATTCTTAAAATTATTCTTAAATTACTTTCATATTTTTTGCTCTCTTTCGTTTCAATGCGCTAGTTTTCATAAATTTTCTTTTACAAATAATACATAATATAAAGTAAATTATACATGTACATTGTACTTTAACAACAAAAGTGGGACGTAAACAAATTGGCAATTCATAATACTATTATTACTCATTATTAGTGTAGTTTTTACAGTAATAATGAATTGAAAACAATTAAAATCATAATAACAGGACGAATAGGCATTAATAGTCAGTTTTAAAATAATACTTTTGATACAAGTCTTAAAATCAAATCTTATGGATTTATCCATGTTTATACACAAACAAAGGTATAGGTCACATACTAAAAGTAAAACGGTCCTGCACCACTATTGAGAATCATGCTAGCGCTTTAAAATTAATTAATCAATTTACCTTCCCTCTTATGCCAGCCTCTCTCATAACTAATTCTCAGATGCACAATACGATCACCATTAAATCTAAAACTTCTAACCACACCATGAACGTTTGCCAAAACTGATTTGCACAAAATTAATAACAACTTTAAGGCGAATATAATACAAAGTTTGAGTTAAAGGAAATACTTAAACTATCTAAGTCTTGTGGATACATCTTCACTCAGATCCTCAGCCCATCAGCGGCTGAAGTCAGCATAATATATTTCTTTTATTTACGTACTAAACTTACTCTATACACATCGCCCTAAAATAGTCCTAATTCTTTGTTCACAATCAAAAACAGCACAACAGTCACTTCATTTTAATATCAATCTTATACAAATAAAATAAAATTCATATTTCCCAATCGCGATCCATCGTAAATCACACTGTAGTTTACCTTACCTATGAAATCTATCAACGTTAAAAAGTAAAAGGTGGAGGTAAGTATAGTCCAGTGGCGCAGGGTAGCAGGTATATTCGGGGGGTCGACGTCGCAGGCGCTCAACAATAACTAGCTAAACCGCACTCGCCCTAGCCGTAGCGGCACGGCGAGCGGCCCGGCGCCCCCCCTCTACCGCACTCAGTACGGAGAGTAATACGTGCCGCGCCTGTAACCTCTGCAAACAAGGCACGCCGTTAGTCACACCTAGAGCTACACGCGCTCCGGCTACACGTTCAGGTGTTCTTCCCTGAATATATAACAAGCTCGATCCCATTAAGTACAACGCTCGTTGCAGTTTTGTATATTCATGACCCTTTCCATTGCTTGTAATAAGATCACCACGTGTAGCCGGACCTTTAAACCTACGATACTACCGCTACGGCTACCTCATGCGCATGCTACACAGACATAGGAGGGGCACTGCATTGAAAATGCTCATATTTTTGTTACAAACTTTATTTGTAAAATTATCTATAAATATTGTCTTTCCTTTGATCAATTTACAACAGTTTGTACCAATTTTACAACAGTGGTCTACTGGCAACAGAGTTGACTGTCGAAGATGTCACAATTAATTAACTCAATATAGCTAGTTTGGAGGAAACTAACTTTGTAATAAATACAGTTGATAAACAACTTTTCTTGTGAAAAAACAAAACAAGCATAAACACTTTACAAGTTTAACATTTCAATGGCCAGTGTGTTATTACAATTATAACTCAAAGTAAACAAGACACATTGTAAGTGATATAAAAGCATTTCACGTGAGCAAAAGTGACATCTTCCACAAGTGCTAGTAAACATTTAAGTAATTTGCAACTGTTATTCAATTATTATTTTTACCTAGTACTTAAAGAGTTGGATGTTGTTTGACAAAAATTGGGTCATATTAATATTGCATCGCCATGGAGGATATCTTATGATAATGTGGTGTACATCGCCCTAAATTCCCCCATGCTTTGTGGTATAAAACAAAACTAAGAAATAAATTATATACAGAATTACACACATAATAACTTTCTAAATAATTTCTTTGCTGAAGAATAAGTACACAGATTAATGAAAAAGTGTCTTAAAACATATTTTTTTCACACTAAGTTTTAGGACGCATTTTCATCATAATTGTTTTCTTTAAATTTAAAGAAAGCTTAATGCAGGAAAATACTGAATGCGTGGTTATTTAGACCCTTGTTCTAATAAAGCAACCAGACTTCAATTACGAAACCTTGTTATACAAATTATAAGTCTGTCTGAAGTACTATTCATTTTATTATACTTAAATACAGTGTATTCAGTGTCTGTCTAGGTATAAAGTTCTGAAAATTAAAATAATAATAAAACAATATTTGCTCAATTCTTGTCCCAATTAACATTAACAATATAAAAAAATGTACTTATGATATGACAACAACTATTTGAAGCAATTCTACAGTGAATAAAACCTAATATTGCCTAAACATCAGTACAAAAAATCTACCGAAAAAACTAAAATAATATAAGGTCGTCCCAGTAGCCCTAAATTAAGCTACAGTTTTTCCCTTAGGGACAGGAGACTGGCAAAATCCCGACTTTGTTATAACAGTTGCAAATTATGGAGATAAAAGTCCAGAATAGCTGAAGGTGTGTAGACAGTGTTAATAGGGATTGTACCTGCCGCGACGAACGGGCCGGTAGCCCGAGTAGTACGGAGAGAAGCCACCACCACGGAACGAGCGCCCGCGCCCGCGAGACGAGCGCGGCGGTCTGTTCGTCGTCGACAAGCCTGGCTTGTTCGTGCGTTTGGGCATTACCTGAATACATTAATTATTTAATTACGTCACGCATTGCAAAAACCCTAATTTACAAAACTAATTCAAACACAGTTATAGATAGTTCAACTCAGTTGTGCGCGCGGCCCTATGTGTGCGTGGGCTTGTAAATATACAACTTTCATTCGTGTAGCAGTGACGCGGTGCTCGGAAGACGACTGCCACACGAATGCAAGTTGTATATTTACAAGCCCACGCACACATAGGGCCGCGCGCACAACTGAGTTGAACTATCTATACATGACACTGATTTATAAATCGTTATTTTTTAGTCTGGATTTTTTTGTTTTGAATGTTATTGTTATGCTAACGAACCGATCATATGTCCATGACCTTATTGTCAAAATGTGGATCAGTCCCTCCACAGAATTCGCAGATTGCAAGCACCAGTTTCAAAATAGCAAAATGTTATTCTTGCACTAATCTCTCTTGCACTAATTCAGCCATGTAATAAAACAAATAAGTAATCAGATTGTATCATATAATAGGGTTAAGGTATGAAATTGCCGTTGTATAGTAATAGATATTTTGAATTGACATAAAACCTTCATGGTGTGAGATAGAGTGAGGTTCTTCTTTAAAAAAATGTGTAACGTTCGACTTTCAATTATTATTTTTTATTCGGCTTAGACGTGAAAGATTGATACTTCTAAGAGCCGATTCATTTTTGAATACGAGTTGCGGAACTAAAGTGGGAGAAACGGCTTGCAATATCAGATGGTAGAAGCCGATCCGAGTCAAACTGCCCAAGAATTAGCGGCATGGTTTTAACATTACCCTGCCTACAATATTGACTCATTTGCATCAAAACAATTAGATAAAAAAAATATTGGATCGAATTGTGACATGTGACAAAAAGTGGATTGTTTAAGATAACCGTAAGCGAAAAATGCAATGGCTGACCCCAGGTCAAACGCCGCAACAGTGCCCTAAAGCAAAGCTTACCAATAAAAAGGTAATGGTTACTGTGTGGTGGTCTCTCCATGGTGTTATTCACTATAGCTTTCTCAGGTCTGGTCAGGCAATAACAGCAGTGTTTACTGTGCGAAACTTTGAACAATGGCGAAACTGGCAGTGAAACAGCCCTGACTCGTGAATCGATCTTCCCATTATTGCTCCACGATAACACAAGACTTCACACTGCACTAAAAACCGTTGTTTTCTTTCCAGGAGGCAGTACAAAATGCTTTCACACAGTTTGGCGAATCTAGATCCCAGAGTTCTATCGTAAAGGCATAAATGAATTTCGGCTTAGATAGCCGCAATGTATAAATAATGAGGGTAAATATTTTGATTAAATAAATGTTACATCTTAGAAAAAAATGAGTTTCAATCTTTCAGTACAAATCGGCAATTTCATACTTTAACCCCTTTTTTTTCCTGTGAGAATCCCCTTCGGATGTCACCCACCGGTCGGATGGTTATGTCGGACTCGAACCGACCAAAAACCGCACGCCGTCTCGGGTAATAGATGCCGGGGAACCAGGTGTACCCTAGAAAGGATGGCCTCACCTACCATCCCCAGGCCTGCTCTTATGGATAACGGAGATCGTTCTGCGATCCCCGACGCCTGAGTCGTCTGCGGTTCCCGGGCCTAAGAGAGAGTTCTAAACCTCTCTCGGTTCCGCTCCGCTATCTGATTCTCAAGCAAACTCGCAGAAGGAGACGGTGGAGTTCCATGCACTCTCGCTTCGTACCATAGCGGCAATCATGTTACCGAGAGAGAGAGAATTCCCACTCCGATGGCCGCCACAAGGCCGCGTATCTTCTCAATCGACGCCGGGCATTCTGCCAGCGTGTGAAGCGCCGTGTCCACGGTCCGGCCATCACAGTGGTGGCACTCAGGCGTTGGCTCCTTGCGGATCAGGTGATCTCCGAAGCACCCTTTCCCGGTGATCACCTCACCTCAACCGGTATGAGAGGTTTCCGCTTGTCGGGCCAATCCTCCATAACGGGTCTTACCGCCTCGATAACGGTGATGGCCCCTCATACTTTAACCCCTAATGCATTATTTAACTTTTAAAAAAAAGCTGTAACAAACCTTTATTTGACGCCCTCTAAATAATGACTCGTCCATGGCCATTGCGGTCTGTACACTATCTTTGTCACCAAACTCGATGTATGCAAACCCTTTGGGATGACCATCGAACTTATTACATAATATTGTAACCCTGAAATTATTGGAGTAACCTTACTATTACGTTCATACAATTCACTGGGCGAGTCGTTATTGATAAGTATGTCATTGATACTCAATATTATATGATGAATTTTGTCATACTGACTAATGACCATACTTCTAAATACATACATAGATACATTACACAATCAAAACAAACAATCACGCTTATCAAACAATTTTATTATTTGTCCTGGGTGGGAATCGAAGCCACAACCTTTGGCTCGAACCAACCACTAGACAAGACAAGTAGTAAATAAAAAAAAAACAAATCTATAATAAAAAATTTAGAATTATCTCGGGTAATACGATTGGGATTTAAATGTTTTTTATGGGACTAATTTCTTGCACATAGATTGGCTTTTTGCAAAATGACATTATGAAATACACTTATAGAGTATTTCATAATCTTCAATTATTAAAAATTCGTATTCGTAAACGTATTTCAAAAAGCTTACTATAGCATACTTTTTGGTTAAATATGCCAATCCTTAAAAGCCAATGCTACTGTGGAACATCTAGTATATTATCACTGCTCAACAAAATTGCAACTTTTGTCTGATGAATGACTTATCACATGATGTGTAGTATACTAATTTGACGTCGCTGATTCTAAATATACCCTTACTTTTTTTATGTAACAGCTCTTGTTTACGAGTTATAGTTTACACTAAAAAAATCGCTGTTTTAATGTAAATTTGCGGATAATTATATGTCTGCCACATACAGATATATATATATATATATATATATATATATATATATATATATGGCAGATATACGGAATCGCAGAGACAAATTTGAGTGTATGATCCGAATCATTTTGTTTCATTTGACTTATCACATGATGTGTAGTATACTAATTTGACGTCGCTGATTCTAAATATACCCTTACTTTTTTTATGTAACAGCTCTTGTTTACGAGTTATAGTTTACACTAAAAAAATCGCTGTTTTAATGTAAATTTGCGGATAATTATATGTCTGCCACATACAGATATATATATATATATATATATATATATATATATATGGCAGATATACGGAATCGCAGAGACAAATTTGAGTGTATGATCCGAATCATTTTGTTTCATTTAAAAATACCGTCTAAATGTGACAGCGTTCGTAAACGAGCCTTACAAAAATTACTTTGGTCATTCGCTGGAAATTAAAGATAAGCTTTGCATTACGCAAAAGGTATGCCAAACGTGCATTGAGTTTCTACGTTTGTGGACAAATAAGAAAAGGAATAGATTTAAGTACGAAACTGCTATGATCTGGCATAAACCCGTAAACTACTACGACTGCAATTTTTCATAGAAAAAAATCGAGCTGAATGGAAATATAGACGTATTTTGTATGTCGACATATAGACATGTCATACGTTACATTAGAAGCCTATGCATTTTGAGGCGAAAACCAACAGTAGTGATAGTGACTTTTAAATGTTACCTGGAAACGCCGAAACCATTCAACCATGATGATTTAAACGACCTTATCAGAGATCTAGGATTGACAAAGTCAGACAGAGATTGAGAAAAAGGGATGGAATGGTTTGACTCGTTAAATTTTTTTGTGTAATAAGAAAAGTTCTGACCATTCTCAACGTCAAATAAAAAATAAGTCACTTTCAAAGGGTTAGATGTAAACAAGCGTCAAGATACATTTCTTCACAACTACCTGTACTATTTTGCCGGTAAAACATTTTAGGACTAACTGAAGAACAGGGCGAGCGTTTCCACCAGGACCTTTGTACGATGGAGGAACGCTAGGAGGCTACTTGAACGCACATTTGATGGCTGACTAGTTTATGAGCATTTAAAACGACTCTGACTGGCTTCGCCCGCGTGTAATGTCGGTTATCGCAACTCATAATATCTCCATACCAAATTTAATCTAACTTCCACTCCCTTTTTTCACCTCCTTAAAGGATGATTTCTGAGATAAAAACTATTCATGTCCTTTCCTGGGACTCAAACTATCTGTTTAACAAATTTATCTAAATAAGTCCAGCGGTTTAAGCGTGAAGAGGTTACAGACAGACAGACACACTTTCGCATTTATAATACAGGGTGGCGCAATAGAACGTGCATATTTAAAATATTGATTAGAAAATAAATACAAAAGGTATAGTTAAAATAAAACTGAGGTATTATTAAGAAATAACTGAAGTTTATTTTTTAAAAATAACATCGTCTAAATGATGACCCTCTCTACGACGACACTCCTCTAATCGCAAACGGAAGTTATTGAAAACTTTCTTCAGTAATGCTGGTGTAATTGCTGCCATTTCACCACGGATATTCTCCTTGAGCTGATCGTTGTTTTTCGGATTATTACTGTAGACTTTGTTCTTGAGGTATCCCCACAAAAAAAAAGTCAGGAGGCGTCACGTCTGGACTACGTGGGGGCCATGGGATATCACCTCTTTTCGAAATCAGTCTGCCAGGGAACATCTGTTTCACAACCGCCATGGAGTCATTTGATGTGTGACAGGTAGCTCCGTCTTGTTGAAACCAAGTCCTAGAATTCACTATTCTTGAATTTTCAAGCTCTGGAGCCAAAAAACCTTCCAACATCGCAACATAGCGTTCGGTATTAACAGTGACGTTTTGCCCCCGCGCATTTTCAAAGAAAAACGGTCCAATTATTCCTCTACCAGAGATTGCTGCCCATACTGTCACTTTAGGACTATGCAGTGGTTTCTGGTGCTTGAGTTTGGGATTCTCACTGTTCCAGTAACGACAATTTTGACGGTTTACGAACCCATTGATATGGAAGTGGGCCTCATCTGAGAAAAGGATATTGTCAAAATTGGAAAATCGATTAAGCATTTCATTAGCAAATGCGAGCCTTGCTCCGAAGTCAGACTCTTTCAATTCTTGTGTTAACTGCAGCTTGTAAGGATGCAGTTTAAGATCCAAGTTTAAAATTCGTTGCAAACTTCGTCGCGATAAGTGTAAGACAGACGATCTCTTACGAGTAGACATTTGTGGATCTCCTCGTACAGACTGCATAACTCTCTCAATATTGTCGTCGGTCCTAGATGTTCTTGGACAACCTTTTGCTTGTGGTTTAAACGTTGAACCAGTCTCTTCAAAACGCTGTACCCATATTTTAATTAAATTAGCACTCGGAGCTTTACTAATTTGCCGTAGTCCATATTCAGAACAATATAAACGCCTAGTAACGATGTATGAACGAGAGTTCTCGTAAAATGCGCGCACGCACAATGCGCGACGCTTCCCGTCGAAGTGACTCATAGTGACTAAAACTCCATGAGCCCGCCTACCCAACGATGCAGGCTCCCCCCGCCCGCGCACTTTCTACCCCGCGAAAGAAGATGATGCAATATGCACGTTCTATTGCGCCACCCTGTATTAGTATATGGACACTGCTTAATTCGTAAGGGTCTGATGTGATAATTGAAGATCACATTAGACCCCGTATCATAAATTAGTCATTTTGCAAAAAGCCAACACTACATGCAACAAACTCATTAAAGAGGTATTTAGTATAAATGAAACTTTTTGTGACAAAGATCTTTAGTGACACATCATGACAGAACTAAATGTTTGCGTTCCATTTCAATCACAAACAACTGATATTAACAATGAATTTATTATAATGTAGACATTGCTAATGTGTTTTTATATCACTGTCTGTTAGTAAATTTGTTGCTAACCTTTCCATTATAAATATTTTGGTTTTAATTGCTTAATATAAGTTATTGTTGGAGAACTAAATGTTCCGAGAAACAGCCAGTTTGGATGTCATGGTATGACCAACTCAGCTTTTTCATAATCCTCATTTCATCTGAGGGCCTAATAAAAAAACCTATGGTTTATTTCACATCAACTCGATCGTCACGGTGACCACGTTCGGCGTTACGATTGGTCTGCAGTGAAATCTTCAAGAATTGCGACGCCAAACGCGCTTGCGGCCGAGAGCGAGTTGAAGTGAAATAAACTCACACTTGGGGCTCTATATAAGCAATTTTGTTTTCTTTCCCTTCTCTCTTTCACCTATCTTTCCCTTTCGTTATCTATTTAATATGTGAAGAGAATTCTTTGTACCCCTTTTAATCAAATTTAATGTAAGGAATATGAAATTAGGGAGTACTTAATATTTATATAGAAGTGGAGGGGCTCATGGTTAAGTTTGCAATGTGCTAACTTACTTGGTTACCAACAAGTAAGTTGCCACATTGCAAAATTAAGCAATTCTAATCCAGGTGAGTCTATGGATGAGTGAGAATTCTTATCACATTGAGACACCTCCGTGCCAGTGTACGTTAAGCTGTCGGTCCAGTTAGCCATACGAACATCGGTAATCGTATATCGGTAATATATATATAATATTACTAACAGTAGAAAGCCTATATAGTCTAAAACATTTTATAAATTTTCAAATTGTACAATATGTTATAAACACAAAATAATTTGAAAATTGGTATAAAAAGCTATACATGTCTGTCAATATATACCTGTAAACATATAGAAACTCTACACAATCACAGTTCAACTTATATCAGTGAATGAAATAAAACAACATTAAAAACCTTACGACCTTTAGTATAGATTAAAACATATATATAAAATGTTTTAGACTATATAGGCTTTCTACTCTTAGTTATACTATATATCTATATATATAATTCTTCTGTACATGGTTTCGATTTTTTTTAAAGTTTGAAATTTTCGGATTTAAGACGTGTACAGGACAACGTCTGTCGGGACAGATAGTAAGATTATATATTTTTGCTTCTACATACCTATTAATAGATCCACAGCCATGGAAGTGTTGCTCCAGCTCTTCAGCAGTGGCCCCATAATCCACGTTACCAACATACACAGATCTGTTGTCAGCTTCTATCTTCTCCTCTATGGACATATTCAGTGGACTTGCTGAGGAAAAAGAAAATACATTCAACAATTTTATATTAAACAGCATGAAGAGGCTTAATTCTGTTTTAGAATTTCACAACCATCGCTTTAACACGAACAATGAATGAATGAAAATGAAACCTTATATTTATTAAGGCATGATATCATTTTCAATTGGCTCTCTTTTGGTTACCTACCTAATCTTGGTCATCTAATTTGTATAAAAGTTGCAAAAAATAAAAACAAATAAACATAAGTCAGAGATCACTTGAAGGTAGTTTATATTCTCATAATATCTACAATAAAGGTCAACCGATATCACCATTACTGATGACACATTAAGACATAATGTAATTTATTTTTTAGTGGGTCATAAGTAATGAATTTTTAATGATGTTATGAAAAATGCTAAATTTATAATATAATGTGTTAATTTCTATGGTACAGCCAGGCTTGATAAATAAAAATCTTTCCTATTTCTTTATTTATATACTTTTGCCAAAAATCAAGTCAAAGTCTAAAGTCAGAACTTGTTGACATAACCCATAGGTACATCATTAATCATCACTCTAGCACCCAATCTTTTGAAAAACTGAAATATTTGCAAAATTAAATTGGCAATTGGTCACAATATCATTGTTATTCAAAAACAATTGTTTAATATTATGCTTAATTGCCAAAATAAAAGAAAATAACAAAAGCTGATTGAAAAATATTATAAATATATGTGGTTATGAAGTACTTATCAATTGTTTCATCAACAATCAACAAATTGAGGCACTACTTCTAGTCCTAGATTTTATAAAAAATTAAATAAGCATATTTAGGTCTAAATAATAATTGTCGTAATTGAGCATTGCTTCCTAATCTCACCATTAACCAAATTTATTACTTATCTACATATTATTAAACTTATTTATGAACTTAATCCTTAATAAAATATAATTTAGTAACTATTCAATAGTTTAGCTAATTAAAAATGATTTTTATAGAAAGTTGAAGTAAAATTTTAATTAATATTAGACAAATATCATCATCATCAACAGCCTATAACAGTCTACTTCTGGACATAGGCCTCTCCTTAGAAAGGAGGTTTTGGCCTACAATACCACGCTGGCCAGACAGGTTGATATGGGGTTTGTTTCAAGTTTTCCTTCTCTTTGCAGTTCTTTTGTCCTAGGTAGGTTACTCCCTAAGTTGGCTCTTACGACACCCACGGGATGAATAGGGGTGGTCACATTCTTAATCCGTCACCACACAGACTATATACACACTAAACAAATATACATACTCATAAAAGTAGGCAAAGGTATATTAAAATGCCAACTACACCTTTAGTCTCATTTCAGTAACAGAGGGCGAGCCTATTACCATCAAGTAAGCATTTTAAGGATTTGATTAGCCAATTGATAGTATGTTGAAATAAAAGTTTTAGATCAGAAGGGAAGGCAATGGTAGACATGGGATGTTGCCTCAATTTGAGCTCCTCAATTTAAAATGTTAACGTAATGCAAGGCAATGACTAGAAAATAGGTATTTTAAACTTACTGAGTCCCGGTGGGCTACCCATACTCATTTGCTTATCAACTTCTGTCTGCATTTGTTTTAATTTCTCAGCCTCTTCTTCCATCTCCCTTACTCTAGCTTTAATAGCAGCCAGGTCCGGTACTTCACTACCAGCGGCCTCATCACCACCCTGAAAGGAATATGTTTTGACTTATTGATTTTACACACTATGGCAGTAACCTCTAGCTTACACAGCAAATGATTTATCATGTCTCGTTTCTACAGCACTGTATGCCTAAACACTACAGGAAAGTAGCATTTAGTCCAAAACCTCAACAGATACCTGGTATCTCTCACATCAACAAATACAACTTTAATTGACTGGGTATCTATTTAATAACTTTTAGTTATAAATCATTTTTTACATTATGACACAGATCACAAATTATCTATACAGCAATTTCTTAACGCTAAAAACTGAACATAAGTGTCAGGTGAACAGCAAAAACAATCACACGTAAGCTCAATAGTGTTACATTACTAAATTAGATCTGTGGAATATCACATATTTACCGTCGTGTCTTAACGAGCCGTGTAATTTAAACACCACGTACACAATACAAAACTTTGTAAGCATCTAACAGTTATTATACTCACCCCGAGGCTATTGTCCGTCATGTTCAGGGATCCGTTAGTCCCGTCCAAGTGATTGTTGTCAATCGAATCTAAATAATCATCATTTTCTGCCATGACCACAAATTACTTCTATCATTAATTCAACACTTAGAACTTCACACTGTACTAAAGCTCTGAAATGTACACGAATATAAGTGAAACTACAGCAATATATTTTTTGGTGATTACGAAGTAGTTCTGACGTACCGGTAACCAAATCCGTTAGTGTGCAAATGACCTACTTTTAAAATAATGTTCACGTTAACTTCTATCGGTCTTTTGCGTTCACTGTAAAAGTTCTGATTACTTGAACATATTGTTATTTTCTCGATATTTACAGATTTGAATTACCCAAAATACCTAAAAGTTAAACGCCAAACTAAACAACTTCAGGGTGACCAACAAAAACAACATCGATAAAAATAATAGGTGTGCCACCCCAAAAAATAGACAAACTGCATCACATTCATAATACAAACATTTTGTCTCTAGTAACGACAAATTAAGCTACCTAAGAAAACAATAAGTGTATTGAAACGAGAAGAAGAAAAGAGGGAAACACAAAATCGTAAATACGTAAAATACAATATCGCTAACAAGTAATTTAATCCAAATCGGTTTAAATCCCAGTCACAGACCTATAAGAAGTATAAGTCTGTGGTTTAATTGTGATCTTAAGATACATACTATAAGAAGCTGCCTTATATTGGAATATTATTTGTGTAGTTTATGTAGGAGTTCCCACATAAAAAAGAAAGGAAACAGAATATATGCATTAATGCTGATGCTGTTTTTTTTAAAATAAGCTCGTCTTTAATAGACATGAATGTCTCTGATACAAAGTGAAGGTTACAAAACAAAGCAAGTCTTGAACATGAGCTTAAATTTTTGGTTGATCATTTTGTATGGTCAAAATCAGAATACATTTTGACAGTCTCCCGAATGACCCTTTTTAGATTTATTAATCACAAAAAATATCTAATAAACTTTACTAATAATAAACTCTAATGAATCAAATAAACTTGCGTAGTTGAATTTTGAATTAAAACATTTTCAATTGTTAGAATATGAGATAAAGGATATCATTGCAAGAGTAAGTATAATTTATGTATACACTCATTTTAAAACCAACGCATTTTTATAGCATTATTGTTGGTCTATTCCTATGTATAAGTAGCGGCACGAAACTCTAGCGGTGACAGTTACTGCGCAGAAGTCAAAAATCAGGTACTTTTTGGGGTAAGAGGGACGAAGGGCGGGCGTGCGTAGCGCCGATTGGCTCTCCAGTCGCATTACGTCCCCCGCACTGATACGACACACCACGTGCTTCCAGAGTACAGTCGCGTTCTGAGTTATATTGTTATCGCTGTTAATTTTTGTTGCAATAAATACAATACTCATGTAAAGACAATGCAGGTTGCAGCTGGGAACAGAAGACATAAAAAAAGCGTTTTAAAATTATTTAACGTTACAGTCGTATGTTGTGGTAGGGAAAGGACTGCGTTAATTGTTGTGGTATTTAATGCGACAAATCAAGCATCGTTGTTTAGATAATAAACTGCTAAGTTGAAAACTTTCACAAAGTGAATTGCATATAATTATAGTTCAACAAATTCTGTTTTAATTTTTCTACTTCCTATAAACTTGTTAAAAATCCTGGGTAACATAATTTTTTTGGATATTGGAACTATAAACTATAATAATGACATACACATACACTCACGCATACACGCGCATATACGCACACCACGCACACGCACAAACAAAGTACATTTTTTTTTAACATACACGTTTATTACTACTACTTAAGATTTAAATGTTAATACACCATAATACTGGAGACCAATAATACTGGTTCAACCCAGTGCAGGCTCCCATCTCCTACAAGCACAATAACTGTCTGTATATATTCTTATAGCTTTTACCCGCGGCTTCTCTCGCAGTTTTATCTTTCGTAAAAAATATTATTTTAATAAAAAGTATCATATGTTACTTCTAAAACCTCCAAGAATATGTGTACAAAGTTTCATGATGATCGGTTAAGTAGTTTTCACGTGAAAGGGTAACAAACAAACTTATATTCACATTTATAATGTTATATAGTATGATTATTTACTTACCTTTTGTACCTATTGTTGAGAAAATAAAGAAATTCAAATTTGACGACTCTGGCACGTGAACAAATTTCAGAAGTTACACTCTATAACATTAACTATTTACTAAAGTTAATATTTGCGTGCGCGATAGTACCCATGCGCGGCTATCCCTTCCACGTTCCGCTCAGCGCTAGACTTACGTGCCGCTAGTTATAGTATTATAATAATATAGGTGCATTTATAGCACTGACCTCTATCTTGTAAAATAGAAGTTACTAACTTCTATTACTAACTTCCAGTTAGTGATCTATGGATTGAGTAGAGTATGGATAATTTATCATCAATCAAATAAAAATCATGCACATGGTATTTTTGATCTAAGATAAATAATTGATTGTGTAGCCCTATATGCTAACCATAGAGAAGCTAACACTACGTAAAACAAAATGTCTATAGCATAAACTTAACTAATTAACTAGCATACGTCAAAACGGTCAACTTACAAATATTAAAGGAAGAAGTCAGGAAACAGGCTACTGAGATTGTTCCTTTTTAATATTTACGACGTTAATCAATGGTCTCTTGTATTTTAATATATAGGATATTTATAACGGTAGGTACTAATAGATATTTTGAGCAAATTTCTGTTTTATTTTTTAGTTATTTTTTATTTATTTATTTAAAAAGAAATCAGATTTAATAAATATATCAATCCTAATTAAAAACTTTTTCAGATATTTGCGTTTGTAGGTTGGCTTCACGCAATTTACCTTTGTTGGTATTTATCTTCCGTAAAAGATGCCCCTCACAGCTGATGTAGCTGCTCAGCAGGTGCAGGTTGGTAATTGATAAATGTCATAGTTTTGTAATCATAGAGACATTCCATTATTTCTACTTTGGCCTATTGGTCTAGTGGTTAGTGATTCTGACTGCTAAGCCTGAGGTTGTGGGTTCGATTCCCACCCTGGAAAAATATTGTGTGATGACCATGATCATTTGTTCGGTGGCTGGTTGATTTTTATCTATAATATGTTTCTTACTTAATTATGATAATTACTTACAAAGGTATTTACTATTTCAGGAGCGCCTTAGATCACTGCATAGACTGATCTATGACATTGAGTCGGAGAGGGCATGCAATGAGCAGTGTATTGAATCAATATTGAGAGCAGAAAAAGCTGCTGAATCACCTTCATCAAATGATGAATCTTCAGGTTCCTCACAGCAGGTAAGTCATACATTCATGATAGACATGACCAACTGACTTTTGTATGATTGTGTAACTTTATGGGACATGATCATGCAACATTTGCCTTGCCCATATTAGACACCAGTAATTGAAATGTTGCCCGAGGAGTCAGTGCAGCTTACATAATTATTTAGAAGATTGATTAAATCATTGAAATTTGTATTTATGATATGAAATAAAACAATAATGTGTTTGAGAATATGTGCTAGAAAAAGCAAGATCATTTTTCTCCAAACGTTTTTAACATATGTTTTAATGGTTTACTTTGTCTTATTTAAAATAAATTAATCATTAAAGGCCTATTTATTGCCCTAATAATTTTTTTTTTTTTTATGCTTTAAATTTTATTTATATCTTCTTATATATAAAATTTTCGTGTCACAATGTTCGTTCCCGTACTCCTCCGAAACGGCTTGACCGATTCTCATGAAATTTTGTGTGCACATCGGGTAGGTCTGAGAATCGGCCAACATCTATTTTTCATACCCCTAAATGGTAAGGGTGACTCATCCCTAATTTTTTTTTGTTTTGCAATACAACGTTTGCCGGGTCAGCTAGTACCTATATATATTTTACTTTTTAATGGATGATCTCTCTTACCCATTAATACCAAACAAAATTTTATTATTTTAACAGCAAATCCAGTTAAAGAATTTGTATAAAGCTGGTTTATCTGCAGCAGAACAAGAGGAGAGTCTTCTAAGAAAGGCATTGACACGTATTTATGAAATACGTAGCATCAAAAATGAGAGAAGGATTCAGGTGAAGCTCTTTTTGTTTATTTAGTCATGCTATCCCAAACGAGGCAGTATAGGCCCATCTACTGCAAGCTTAGTCTTGTCTCTCGCCATATCCGTTTCTGTACCGTTAAATTTATCACTTTGGCCTTTCGTACTTTGAAAACGATTAGGTACACACTCAAGGAGGGTTGGCATTAGACAGATGGCCGGTCATAAAAGAACCAAGGTCCAGGGCAGGAAGCTGATGCTAATGATGTTACTGGTAGTTTAATACCGGAAAATAAATTATTTCAGGCTCGGTATGCTGGTAACAAAGAAACTATTGGGTGCGGTGCGCTCATGAAAATGTTACTTAGCGCGGCGCAGACTTTACCCTTGCACGTGGGGAGAGTGGGCGAGCGTGCGCCACCCTTATGTGGGGCTGTTCCCCCCGACCCGGGCCACATCGCGAAGGCGGGGGATGCTGTTGCGGCGCTTGTACGCGTCTCGGAGAAGGAAGAAAACTGGATATTGGCTGAGGTATGTTTATAGCAACTCTTTAAACCTCACATAATTCGGACCATAAACTTTTATAATCGTAATATAATTTATATAGGTAGTGAGCTGGCTGCCCGCCCAGGGCAAATACGAAGTGGACGATATCGACGAAGAACAAAAGAACCGTCACATATTGAGCAAACGTCGTGTGGTACCTTTGCCGCTGATGCGAGCAGACCCGCGCACTGATGAACACGCTCTGTTTCCCAAGGACGCGGTTGTGATGGCCCTTTACCCACAAACCACGTGCTTTTACAGAGCAATAGTTAACAGACTGCCGGCGAGCGCCGCCGATCCTTATGAAGTTTTATTTGAGGTAACTTTAAATTATATTTCTTCTCTTTTGTACATATTAAAGCCCACATTGATATGATGTAGTTTCTTCTTCTTGCTCTTTCAGGCTCAGGTTACATTTACGAAGTGTAATCACACATCTTAATGATATTTATTAGGTGATACGATAGTTTAGTGAGTGTACTATAAGCTAAGTATTTTTATATATAAGCTAAGTACTTTTGGTATAATTATAATCTTCATCTTAATTGTTTTTGATGAGATTTTTTTAGATTATTATAATTTCTTTATCATAATGTATGTAATAATTAATATATGGACTTTGGAAACCTTCAAGCATCCATCTCCTCCAAACCAGGCATTAAAATATTTATTTTCATTAACACATCTAGTGATGTTTATGTGCACATGGAATTAGGTTTAGGAAGTAAGCACCAGGTTGATACTATTATTTTGTTGTTAGGACTCGTCGTACGCTGACGGCTACTCGCCCCCGGAGCGTGTGGCGCAGCGCTACGTGATCGCGATCAAGGAAGGCAAAGGGCGCGCCACCTGACCCGCCTCACACACGCGCCCGCCCTCCGCTCGCTCCTCTCCACTTTCTTCCACCGACTCGTCGCTGCTTTAAAGGCCACACTGGGCGTGGTGGCCGGCCATGTTGTCAGCTTATGCTAAAGAATGGAAGGAGCGCTACTATTTTGACATTAAAATTGTATTAAATGTAGGCATGAAATTCATTGTAATAAGTAGGAGAATGAGGGGGAGCGACAGTTATAACATTTAATCGATTTCTTTAATATCAACAGCCTATAATAGTTTACTGCTGGACATAGGCCTCTCCTTAGAAGGAGGATTGATTTCGTTAAGCTTTGTAAAATTGTTTTATGACGGCTGAATTAGATATTAAAATATAAACAGAGATATTATGTAATTCAGTACCATCGTCTATCTGATGGCAGGCTTTTTCTTTCCAGACATAAAATTAACATAAGCTCTTCTGTATACAACATAGTGTCATACAGTACAATGCAGAGCTTGGTTTTGAAATGTAGGAATAGATAAAAGTTCTTGGGTATACCTAGCTATTGGCTTTGGTGGAAGCAACATTTTTTTGTCATTAGTCTTAGTATATTTAATTTTTCGACTGCCAAATGTACTATGAAAGCTTACCAAGCAAATAAGTACCCCCTACCCCTTTGGTAGGGTATAACAGTAAATAGATAATTTTCATCTAGTTTTGTAATGTATGGTGTCATAGATAAGCGTAGCGGTTTTTTACTATTCGTGCAACATGAAATCGTGTCTGTACCACACTGCCCGATTTCGTCGTCTAAATCCCCACCATACAAACGCTAAACAACTCTGGGTATCCCTTGAAGAATAAGGAAAGAAGAGGTAGAAGAAAGCTGTTTCACAATAGGTCTAGTAGGTATATTTTTTGTAGAACGACTTGATTTGGCAATGGCTTTTATTAGTTCATAGTAAATAGTGAGCTTTATGCAATTTACAGATTTAAACAATATGCTAACTAAATAGAGACACACTATTCCCAATAGTTCACTATATAAATATACGTGAACTAACAGCAAGTGTAATATGACCTTAATGTTGATTGGATATGAGTAATCGGAGAAAATGGGCGACTTGATTTGTCATAAGCACGTCATCAATAGTGTGAGGTTGTAAATAATGTTACTCTTTATAATGTTTTAGGGATTGTCTTAAAATCCTTTCTAAGACTGCCATTTGCAAGTTTTCCCCAATTATAATTAATAAACTATTTATGATAATATGTAAACTTTATGTTTGTAAGTTACAATTAACACATTGGAATAAACATATGAAAATATATTTAGTTAATTATTTCATTATTATCACATGTGATGTTGATGTAACGCTCAAAGAAAAAGAACTGAGAAAGAAAGCATTGTGACTATCACAATTACCGAAAGACCACCGCGAAATTCGTGTCGTGGTTATCATGTTATACGACAACTAGGCATGCTAAATTCGCGCGCTTACCAGTCTTCTTTTTACACACTGGTTCCAAAGAAGTACACATACACTTCACGCAGTTGCAAAAAATCTAAAAGAAAGATGTATAGTGTAGGTATATGTGTAACAAATGCTAATAGTGAGTCAACTCCTTGGATAGACCACTAAATACCTACAAGACTGCCTCGACTAAAAATGTGCAAGGGTTATAACTATAGATGTAAAAAAAACTTTTAAACGAAATGTTGCCGTTTTAACCCCCAAATAAATCGTTTTAAACGGTTTAAAACTCGCCTACAAAAATAAGATAACTTGGTTTTACACTTCATTGTGGGCAATTTTTGGTCACCTGACGTCATGTTTCGTTTTAATTAGTTTATATATTACCTTCTACACGAAAACTTAAGTATGTAGGTATACCTACATATACTTATTTATTATTATTATATTACACACACTAGATTAGAAGATATCATTAACACAATACCGACCGTTTAACTTGCGCGTGAAAGAGACAACGTATGTCCTTCAAGGCCGTCGTGCCGGTGCCGACGGTGTTAACGAGTTTAAGTTTGGTTTTAAACCGAATCAAATTGCTTATTTATATCGTTTGAAAACAATAAAAAAATGGTTATTTACTAACAGAGTTTTTAACTTATCAATAGAGTTTTTATAACTTAGGTAGGTTAATATTGGGCAAAGGGTATGGTAAAATTGAATTCTTACAACCATGTGATTGCTGCGGCTTGTTATTAATATAGTTAAATTTATTAATTTCATTTATTTCTAATATTTATTTATTATTTCGATTCTCGGGCGGGGCAAAAATTTATAGGGTTTTTCTGAGAGGAAAAATCGAAAAGTTACTCCTTATATAGACAGCCACCTGGTAGTATAATATTATCAAAATCGGTCCTGCCGTTTAGAAGTTTACCCGGAACAAACAGACAGACAAACACACATAAAATGGTTATAAAAAACCTGTTATTTTGACATTACAAACAGACACTTCAAATTTATTTATTTGTATAAATACGTATCTAATAAAATAAATAAATGTATGTAATTAATATATGATTAAAACAGTAATATAAGTATTTTTTAAATCACATATTATGTAAATGTATATTAAACCACCAGATTTATCGAGAGTTTTGTTGTACCTACGCCTTGTCTCTTATACTATTAGTAGAGATAATAGCGCTTATTTTCCTGTGTACCCCTGGTGGTACAGTGGAAGATGAATTTTAACCGCTGTATTCCTTGGCCGCAAACCCCTACAAAATTAAAAATGTTATTTTGACGCATTAAGTATGTGCTTATTACAACATTAAGTGCACTTCAGATAATATTTTGTCATTTTCATTATTATTAATTTATGTATATTTATATAATATATAATAATTGGTGCGACGGTCTAGTGAAAGTCGCAGGAAGCCATTGGATGCGGTCAGCATAGGACCGGTTGTTGTGAAGAGCCTTGGGGGAGGCCATCTCCAGCAGTGGACGTCTTTGTGTCCGTTTCGACTGCTCGGCCAGTGTCGTAGAAAAAAACGACAACGTCAACATTACGAAGGAACTTGTAAAACACTCACAATGAAAGCCGCAAATTCGTAGATCCAATATTCAGAAAGTTGTAAGGGTTTAACCATGGCCGCGTCCAAACATGGGGAACCGCGCGGCCACGCAGTTCTTTGAAACGGAGCTTAGTACAGGTCCCATTCTTTTTTGCCAACCACTGGTACGATTTCGAAGAATAAAGCTCTAATGTTTGGACTTGATGACCTACAGAACTGAAAACCTAAAATGCAACTTAGAAGAAGGGTGACCCAGATTTACGGTGCTTCAATTAGACATTTCCAAAAGCGTCGTTTTATATCACATAGATAACGATGATAATATTACGTAGGTATCTATTATCGTAATGAGGGGATAAGTATGGTGAATAGGGAATATGCATAAAATTTAAATTTGTCTTAAATATTTATTTCTGGTTCTTTATTGTCGTTACATTGTACTTTTATTTTTTTAATTTATTATCTTAAACCCAGAAAAAAATATAAGAAGTAAAAAATAAGGGAAGGAAATTCAAACTATAAAACGCGTCACCATTGGTCGAAACGAAATGTGACGTAAATGGTCACGCGCGTCATTGGATTTATCAGCGTCGATATTCATACGTAGTGTTTGTGAGAAAAAAAAACTGTATTCCTGTGTGATTACTTGAGAACATATATTTGTAGTCAATCTAGGACGATGAAAGAAACTGGTTTTGTCAAAGCAGAATCGGATAACCTACTGAAAATAGATGCATTTATGATGTAAGCATATTTTGCATTAAATCTCGATTTTACGAGCGCAGAGATCAAAAGAGTGAAAGCTGCAAGGTAAATATTATGTTACATGGTATATTTTAGTCCATTACATAGATTTTTTAATAAATTTTTAAATAATACTTACAACAAATAATCATATGTCATCAAAATTGTTCCGAAACTCCTAATTTACGTCTACGTGGGATTAGTTTGAAATAAAACATGATAAAGTATACAATCTTTTACTATTTTTAGATAAAATCTACTACAATACATGATATATAGAGCTTACGTCCGAAATATACAATCATTTAATTTTGATTAGACGTTAAAACAAAATTGATTCTTTTTCTTTGATTACTTATAAAACTAAGGAATAATAATACAATTAATGGAAGAAAGTAAAATGTCACATTTGAATAAACAAAACATACGACTAATTTGCTTCTAGGTACAAGAAAAGACCTGTACGAAATAAATTTCAATAGATTAAAATATTTTTGAATTTTAGATGCATCTATTTTTGATATTTAAAAATAAACTGGAAACGACGTGCAGAAAAGAATTGAATTGTAATATATGAAGTCTTTTACTTAAATAAAAATTATCACCGTTGACTATTGCTCCTGCTTTACTTAAACCAATTCATACTGACACAGCCTTCAGACTCCAACATTAAAATAACTTAAATCTTACATTAAGCGATGAGCAAAATTTGAGTTATGGCATATGTATACTTTATGTATTACATCATAAATAAAATGAGATCAATATGTTTCTCTCAACAGCGTGCGACAAGTTCGCCCAGCAAAGCTCAGCACCACATTCTCACATGACACGTTGTGACAAGTCAATCAAATATTAATAAATATATATAAACAGTGGTCAACCTAAACAAAATTGATTTAACATTTACATATTAAATTCGTCTTGTAATCGAGTAATTTTACAAAAGAAAAATACGATAAAACGGTTAGAGAGCTAGAAGCGATTTTTGGTACTAAGGGAAACAAAATAAATATGACTAAGAACGTCACAGACTCGAATGTCGAACTTGGATGGAATTGAATTAATCTGAAACAAAAAAATTGTGTTAGGATAAAACAACAAACATGTCGAAAATAATAATTTAATATAATACGAATTAAGAATTGTTTAATATAATAATAACCTCAGACATCTCACACACGGCCGTCTGATGCCAAACTAGGCAGAGCCTGTACTATGGTAACCAGACTGCTGATAAATATACTTATATATTTTTAAATACATACATATTACCGATAAATTACACCCAGACACAGAACAAACGATCATGCTCATCACACAATACTTTGTCCTGGGTGGGAATCGAACCCTCGACCTCTGGCTTAGCAGTCAGGATTACTAACCATTAGATCAACAGACCCGTTTTATCTATATTTTTAATATAAAAGTGAGTTTGTTTCGCTTTCACGCCTAAACCACCAAACCGATTTAAAAAATTCGTTCACTAACGGAAAGCTACATTATCAGTGAGTAATATAGGCTACTTTTTATCGCGATAACTGACATACAGGGCGGAGGTGCAGGTTAAAGCTAGTATGATATAATACATTTTTGTTAAATCCAAGTTTAACATATTGAAAAAAGTTCTATGGATAAATTGGAATAATTTACACTTTTACTACATTCCATTCACTTGTTATGGTAAAAAATCATTGACATATGACATAGGTTAGAAAAAAGCAGATGGTTACGTACGAAAATGGTATATAAAAATGTTTAATTTACCTCGGGGCTGGTGGCGGTCCTGCGCCTGGCGGTCGGTCATGAGGCCGTGCAGCTTCCGCGCGACGCCGGCCGTGGCGTACCGCGCGCGCTTGACCACGTCGGCCGCGGCCAGCGCGCCCTCGCCCACCGCGCTCGCCACCAGGCTGCGCTTGAGCCCGCCCACCTCGCACGACACCATCGTGTTTATGGCGTGCAAGTCCTGCTCACACAAACTTATGCATGTTCATTACTTTAATAGCTCCCGCGTTATAAGACTAACGTGCTTTTCTGTGTTTAGATAAAAGAAAGGACCGATTTCGATTTTAATTATTTAAAATGATTTTTGATCGAATGTTCTTTGTTTCTTCTCATTCATGAAAACTACTTTAATCGGTTGATATCGAACACGTCACCTTAAAAGGAGCACCGATTTCGTTGATATTAATAAAAAAATACCAGACACATTTTTAGGGTTTCGCACTTAAACAAATTTAACGGAACCCTATATAACTAAGAGACATTTTAATATTAAGGTATGAGGATAAACATATAATTAGGGGTACAAAAAACCGAAGACAGCGCCTCGGACTGTTATATTCTCTGTTTTTACATGCTTTAAGCGTTTCAAGGAACAAGTTTAGAGAGTTCCATAGTGTGTACCTTGGCGGGGCTGCGGCTAAACCTGTAGGTGAGGTGCAGGTTGGCGGGCGGCGGCGTGGTGAGCGGCTTGACGTAGAGCTGGTGGCGCTCCGACACGCGCTGGCCGGCGGGCGAGTAGGCCGCGTCGCCGCGCCCCGCCGGCAGCGGCGACAGGCTGCACTCCTGCACCACACAAGACACACTTGTTGTAACCACCGAGTACGGTACTCACTGTCGGGCCTCTCGTAATCGGTGCAACACACACTTACGAACGCATGTACGAGCATGGGTGTGTTTCACTGATTATACCAGATTTCTGATAATTACTGATTTTTCGAAAAAAATACAAAAAGAGGTACTTAATAACATGACAGAACGTTCGGTTGTCATAAGTTACTAGTGTCTGTCGATTTAAACATAAATTTTAAAAAGTAAAGTTTTGTGTTTACACAGAAAGGATGGTTTAAGCTAGGCCGTGGCGAGCACGAGCCGTGGCCAGTACGAGGCACGGACGAGATCCGTCCTGAAATCTTCAAGTACATTTTGTATGGAGCTGTTCTGACGCCGTTTAACTCCTCACATGCCACTACACTGTAAAGTGTCTTCACCGGTAAGCACTGTAGTGTGGCGGCATATCAGAGGTTAAGCCGTGCGACGTCTACACAGCGATGTATGGTTCCTCGACTCGTTGTAACATGAACGCTCTGCCGTGCCTCGTCAGCGCAGTCAGCGAAAAGTTAAGAGATGTAACTAAGTCCTGTTTGTTCACACTGGATGACGAAAAATTCATTTAGTGTGTAAGAAACTTCTAAATATAGGAACGAATAACGCCAGTACATTCACAACCCGATAAAAACGGAGACCCAGTGAAAGTGTGAAAACACTTAACCCTTAATTTGGTGTTGTATGCTGTGCCATACAAACTTTAAAAAAAAATAAAGTGTTAAAGAAATATTATGATTTCAATATAATTATTACTATTTATTCTTATAAACTAGTCACACTTTATGAAAAAAAAAGTTTTTGAGTGTTAGCAACACGGGTGCTGTAACTTTTTTTTAAAATGTCTGCCTGAAAGAAGCCGGCTGTGCTCACTAAGGTATTTATTTGTTTTTTATTACTTTTTCCTCGTAAATTTCTAATAAAACACTAATAATTCGATCCTGACATTATAGTGAAGTGTTCACTGTTATAATTTTGGCAATATTTGTGGATATTTGTTGTTTTATTTGATAAAAAACTTTGTATACCGTGACATACATTGCCAACTTAGTAATGAATTACTGCATAACGAACCTGTATGTCACAGCATACATTGCAAACTTAGTAACGAATCGCTGCATAACGAAACTGTATCTCACAGCATACATTGCCAATTTATTTGATTTCTTTTTGTGATATTTTTTTTTTGAGATTTATGGGTTTTTGTTTGCTTGGGCTTGAGTTTTTGTGTATGCAAGCTTTTTTCTTTACAGCACGCGCTACTAACACGTGGTGGTAGATTTTAGCTTTGATCCCTACTGAAAATGCACTCTCTGATGATGGTAATACATCTGACGTCGATGATGAATTATTGGGCGCTCAAGTTTCGCATTCAGACTCATCTTCCCCAGCCCCATCTATTGCGAGTTCCTTAGAAAGACTGAATATATTCGATTCCGATGATGAAACCTCAACCGATGAGAATGTTCGGCTTACGCCTGTATTCCAAGAAGTATACCCGAATCCATCGCTTGAGCCCGATTGCAGTACTATTCCGATAATAAGCGACATTCCAACACTGCCTGTAACCCCTGCCTCGCCTGCAACTCCTGCCACTCCTGCTACTCTAAATCCTGTATCTCAAGTCGCTTCTACATCACAAGCTTCGACTGCACAACCTTCAGTGTCCATACCTAGCACCCCTACTACATCCTCTACATTGCCAAATCGTATAATTATAAAAACACGATAAAAAAGACCGACAGTTCCTGTTGCTAAACGCTCACGCAGAATCAAAAAGTTCGTTCTGTTCTAGCAAAATGGAAAAGGGCTGCTGTTTTTCGACACAAAGCAACTGTGGAAGATGTACCAGAAATCGATTCTCAGACACCTACTATTTCCTTGGACTATTTTGACAAGTTTATTTCCCCAGACGTTAAAACTGACATTGTAGAACAAACAAATGCGTATTCAGTGGAAAAAACCGGACGATCGATTGAATTAGTTGAAGACGAACTTCGAGATTTTCTGGCTATTCACATCATCATGGTGGTCGTGTCCATGCCTTCATATACAGACTATTGGAGTCTGCAATATAGATTCGGTTGAGTTGCAGATCTAATGCCCATAAAAAGGTACCAAAAAATTCGAAGATACCTTCATTTCGTCGACAATAGCACTGATAATAGTGACAGATATCACAAGATTAGGCCCATAGTTGAAAAAATAAGAGCAAATTGTTTAGCTCATTGCTTTGCAAAAAGTATAAAAAAAAATACCAGCTTTTGCGACAATTTCTGCGACAATTTTTTTTCATGCTGTGATTGACCCACTCGACATCAAAAAACGACCACAAAAAGCGATACAGCCATTTCCCGTTGAGTTCTCGCGATTTGACAATGTGGGTCATTTCATGACCATGACATCTCAGGGTCGGTGCAGGTTATGCTCTAAGCTCACGACTGTCATTTGCAGCAAATGCCAAGTCCGGTTATGTTTCGTTACCGGAAGTAAACCCAGGAATTGTCAACTAATTTATCATTTTCAAAAATGAGTAGTTTCTGGGTTTACTTCCAGCATTTACTGCCAATCACAGTGTTGCAGAGCCATTATACCCGCTACTTTGCTTTCATAATGTATTTGAATCAAGTCATTTTTATAGAGGTTTGATTTATGTTTGTTTTTAATTAAAGTAACAATAAATATTTATGATTTTTATTCTTACTGGTTTTGGTAAGGTATGTCCCAACATACATTCAAATGAATACATATTTCTTTACCCACTTGGCAATGTATGTAGTAGCATACATGATTTTTCAGGAAAACTGAAAACCCTAGATTTTTTTTACTAATTTTCTTGGCATATTTAGGCTTTACACATTCTTATTTCAGTATTTGTTTCAATTTAAAATGTTTAATTTTTTTTGCCAAATAAAGGGTTAAAGTTGGAAAATTACATTTAGATACTCTTCCTAAAATAATTAATATTGATTTTCTTTTCTTCGTCTAGTTACAGACAGTTCTTTTTCATCAAATAACTACTAATACCGAATTCTCTTCATCCTCATCATCCTCATCAAAGGCGGTTGTAATAGCTGCCAATTCCAATAGTGAAAACTTTATTACTCCATGATAAGTAACAACACTACGTTCGTGTCGAAATTACCACAGCGACATACTGACTCGATGAACACTTGTGGAACATCTAGCACGTAACGGACCTAACATAAATCATCCTTAAGCCTCACTCACACTCACCACTAGCCACACCAGCATCTGTGGCTAGTGGTGAGCTTAGACAAGTTTATACGTAAAAGAACAAGCATACCATGTATGCATTACACACGTATTATATCTCCTATGAGACGTCTACACATGGCAATGCGACTGATGTTATTTCTTAGTTATTGATAGTCATTCATACTACATGCGATGAACAGCGATCCATTATGATTATACTTACATCTTTATGTCTCCCCGTGAAACGTAACGCAAAGGTCTGCATACATTGTACGTACACTTTGTTGTAGAAATGTATTAAGTCACCTCTCTCTGGCGAGCCTAAAACATTTTTTTATAAATGGATGAATATACTTTGTCTTGTGAAATCATAATTAAATTGTAGATGATAATGGCATGACGACTTACTGTCTCCTTCACTTTGCCTAATAAGTACAGATCTGTAGACATGATTATCTGCTAAAGGCCTTTGTCGGTAACATTTCATGATGTCTGCAAAAGATTTTTCTACTTGATTTGTTGAATTATTTGATACCTGCGAAATATATTGTTTTTAATATACAGTTAGTGAGTAATGGTTTTGTAAGGTATCTAATGTCATCATGCAATAATCAAGTCTAGTAAATATTTTCTATTGTACTTCTTCCTATCACCATGGGTCCCTACTTTGACATTACAAACTAATTAATTAACACTAAAATACATACGTGGCCTACTGTAGTAGACCAGAAGGCTAATTCTCGAAGTAATCATCAGAGAGAGTAGTGATTTAACTGATTTTATAGAGAAGACCAGCTTTAATATTATGTATTCTATGTTGCAAATATGTAGTCACACCTTTTATCTGTTCAAATTACTAGGGCCCACATTATCATCAATTAGTAGACTTAAGAACTGTTGTTATTAATAACAATGATAACTCTAATATCAAATAGATAGACAAATTACATAATATGTTGTGCTCTCTCCCATCAGCTGTGTGCCAGTCTATACACTATTTGTCTACCTATTTCATAGTTCCCTTCCTAGTTCTAATCGATGATAATGTGAGCCCAAGTAATTTTAACAGATAAAATTGATTAATACGGCCAAGCACACTAAACTATAAAATAACAAACATATATATATATATTTATTTTATCCATATTGTATACTCACTTTGCATATAACATATACAGCACACATAAGTAGTTGGTCTAGATGTCTATCCTTCATTAATTGTGTTTGTTCCATTATTGAGTACTCAAGACACGTCCATATCTTTCGTTTTAACTCCTCATCGGACAGACCTAGTCTCGTACAGAGATCATTGATGCGAACCACTGCCAAACTGTAGAACTGTTGACAGTTGAAGACAGTGACTATTCAGTAACAAACAGGTTTTGTAAGAGGTAATTCTATAAACAAGTGCATTTAATATAATTATTTAAAGGTAGTTCAGGTAGACTGACTCTTAACAGTTTTTTATGTTATACTTGAATATGTTAATAGTCATTTTTGACAGACCTGTTGGCTAAGCAGATAATGATTCTGACTGCTAAGCTAGAGGTCGTGGGTTCGATTCCCAGCCAGAAAAAATAACTGAATGATGAACACGATCATTTGTTGTGTCTGGGTGTATTTTAACTATAATGTGTATGTAGTAAGAAAAATATAAGTGTATCAGCAGTCTGGTTACCATAGTACAGGCTCTGCCTAATTTAGGATCAGACGGCCGTGTGTGTGATGTCTGAGGTTATTATTATGTGACCATGGTAATGCTTGTTAACAGGAGTTTTAGTGCTTACCTTTCTGAAAAATAATATTAATGAGTTATTCGTTTTTTTCGGCGTCGTACTATTGTCACTGTTAGAAGGATTCTGTGGTGGTAGTAATACATTTGCTTCTTGTTTCACTTGCACATTGTTTGTGGCAACTAGAAAATGACATTTGGTTGTAGAAATATTTGACCTTTTTTTAAATATGTTCAAACATTATACTATTATTTTATACACAAAATACAGTTTTTGCAATGGTCTTGTTTACATTTCCCTTATTCATATTTTTATCATACGTTTTAATTTACATAATTGCCGATTATTGTGGGATTTGTATGAATCTCAATAAACATACCCAATAATGACTGGCCTGGTTTGATTGGATCTTTAAATAGTTGTTTTTTAGCCTGGTCTGGCGAGAAATATCGATCAATAACTGCAGACACTGGTGACTGAAGTCCATCTGCAAAAGATTGTTACGTAAGTATTCCGTAAATCAATTCTTATAAATAATACTAATAATAACTTCACACATCTCACATAAGGCAGTCTGATCTCAAACTCGGCAGAGCCTGTACTAAGGTAAACAGAGCGCTGATAAACATACCTATATTTCCAAATACCTACATTTCAAAGATAAATTACACCCAAATACAGAACAAATGATCGTGGTCACACAATTATTTGTCCTGGGTGGGAATCGAACCCACAACCCTAGACAGAGCAATCAGAATCCCTAACCACTAGATCAACGTGGCAGTCAAATGAAATGATCTATTTTCACTTACCGTATGTCTGGGGGCTAAGGAAAATTTGTATTTTTTTTTCAAATTTCAATTCTTTTTTTCATAATTTTTTTAAAATTATTTGTAATCGTTTTTTATATATAGACTAAAGTCGTAGATACATACAAGAGCTATCCTTGTTTTTATGAACATATATTTTCATATCTATATTGGCATGCCACTGTCATTATGTTAATTTCTTGAAATTTCTGCCTCAATGAAAAACTACTCCTTAAATAAGGTGGATGGTGGTGGTGTAAGGTGCTCGAATCGCTCTTTTGCAGTACAAAAATAGTTTGTAGAACAGTAGAATACCGTACGACATTATGCTATGAAAATAACTAAAGTAAACAAGTCATGCTGTATCAAAATCAGTCTCGAATTTTTCTTACTGCATGTGCTGGGGAGCTGAATCTACTCGATAATTTATCAATATGTGGGCCCCACTGTAGCTTAGAATCTAGTGTCATACCTAAAAATGTCGTAGTATCCACAAGGTCCAACTCGACATCCCTTATCATCACAGTAGTTTATAACGGCTAGACGTTTGACAAAGTGAAACGTATATACGTAGTTTTTTGATCTATTAAAAGCAAATCGTTGACGTCAAAGTAATTTTTAGTTGTTTGTGTCATAATATTGACACTTCGTTATGTGGCTAATGGCTTTCCAATAGTTAAACTCTTCACTTCAGTTGAACAATTTGTTAAAGACATAATTGTATATTTCTATGAAGTCAGATAATCTAACATTACTTACTATTTCTACGATGGGGCGAGTCGTGAACTCTTACGTCAATCGATGCTGGTACCGAAGTCCGACTTAATTGTTCCCATAATGGACTGTCTGATGTCCAAACCAATGATTCAAGAACTTCTTCTTCTACCTAATAAAAAATATTTTACACATTATCTTACTAAAAAGTTTGTTTTTTTATTTATCTAGCTTATGCTTACAATGTTACTACTACTACTATTACTATACTAAACAATAGGAAATACAAGTATATAAACTAATGTATCTTAGTATTTCCTATCGCGAAAATTTTCTAAGAAAAATACTTAAGAAAACTTTTTGTTTTATTTATGAAATTTCTTATAAATCTGAGCTTTGTTCTTGTTTCTTAATGCTAAACTTAGTATCAATGGAATGGAATATTATATTTTAAAAGTGTCTCTTACGGCATTAAGATGTTTGATAACATCTCTGGTGAGTTTTTCCACAACTGCCTGCACAACTAACTCAATAATCTTGTAAAAGTGAAAGGCGCTGAGTCCATATATCTGCAGTACTCGTGGAAACTTCAGCGAGTGTACGCCGTAAGCGTGTATAACGATCTCTGTACAGCACGCATATACCGTCAGCTGATATGTTTCTTGCGTAAGAAGCATCTGTAAAATGATTTATCAAGTATAACAAAGACTGAGATATAAGATAAAGTTAAGTTAAAAACTATAGTGTAACATACCTGTAAAGAGACTTGTGGCTTTTTCCTATGTTCCTCCCTAATTATATGTTCAAACACTTTGTAATATAAGCAGGTGATCATATTACACCGAAACATGATTGTTTCATTGCTATAACTAGTGTTGGTTTCCCTCAGACTGTTGGCAAACTGTTCCTTCCAATTATTACACGGCTGTATAAGGTTGGTGTTTATTGTCTCCTTACTGACATTGCATTCTCTGTGGATCAATGTAATATAATCAATGAATTATATTGTAACTGCTAAATATATATTATATTTCCTCATCTTTTCTCTATCACTCAAGTATTTGCTAAAAAAAAAATTTGAAATACGCTTTCATACCATAACTGTTACAAAATATAAAAGTTATAATAAGGATGTAACACAACTATGCAATTTACATTATGAAACAGCAGTTTGCTTCATAAATGCTGCTATTAAAAATATTATCCACTGGATGACTAACGTGAATAATTTGATGAGTTCCCTGGAGGGCTGCGGGGCGGCCTGCCGCAGGTACGCTGCGAGACGTGCGAGACTGTTTTTCGCTTCTGAAACCGGCGTGAGTTCTTCTCCTTGTGATTCCAAGTACCGCCGTCCAGTTAAAGGAGTCTGATGAACTGCTCGATTATTCTAAAATAAAAATAATTTAATGTAGCTTAATTATACAACAATATTTAAAAGTAGAGCCTCCTTATAATTTCGTTTCCTACAAAGCAGTTTAACAACTTGTTGTAGGTATTTGATGTTTACTAAATAATTTAAAACTTTGTATCAATAATGGGATACAACATCTCACACGTGACCTCGACGTATATGTATACATATATACTAAGGCGAATTGTTTACCTTTACCAGTAATTGGAAATTTTGGTTCAGGTAAACAAGTGACTAGAGCATTTGATTTACTACTACAGAAAAATACCACTTACTGGTCCAAAAGTAGCAATAACTTCCGATATTTCTTTATTTCTAGTACCAATTTGTTCATTAGCATGTTCACCTGAAAAAAAAAAATAACTCTTAACTGCCTTAGACTAATAAAGGTAATAAATATTTCTTACTATGATTGTTAAACATTTTACCTTCATAGTCCACAAAACAAGACAATATTGGACAAACATAATATATTTGAGACATTTTCCATAACTGTCAGAAAAGAAGTGGAGAAGTTTTTTATGATAATATGTAATTTTTATAAACGGCCAGGTATAATTTGTACGACATATAATCTCATTAGCAGATTTTTTATAGTTATTTAAACCTAAGAATGGGCCATTTGATGTATTTTTCTAATAAAATAAATATTAAATAGGAAGGATATACATATAAATATATATACAAATATTTTATTGAACAACCTACATTTATTACATACACAGAATTCGGTTTGAAAGGACTGAATATTAATTTAAACATCGAAGAAATAATAAATTGTATTACCTAAAAATATTCTTTCATCAAATTCACCAACGCTTAAGACATATGTTTCATATTGATTGTTTAATGATTTGAGATTTGAATCAAAATAACCAATGTCAAGAACTCCACTTAAGTTTTCCATGTCACCTTTTAGGAGCTGTAAAAAAAGTTTAATAAATATCTTTTAATCATCCTGGGTGAAGAAATGGCTGGTTGATTTTTTTTATGCACTAAGATATCATCTAAAGAATGTTTTCTATTTAATAAGAAAATTAAACATTTTGATTCATCAACAGCCTCTGACAGTCCACTGCTGGACATATGTATGCCTCTAGAAAGGAGGTTTTGACCTACTACCACACTGACCAGACAGGTTGTTATAGACTTTGTTTCAAGTTTTGATTAATGTAAACAAACTGTAATTTATTTATTATAATTATATTATTCTACCACATTACAACAATGCCATCTAGTCCCAAACTTGGCAAAGCTTGTATTATTAGAAAAATTCTTTATAAATAAGGCAATTTAATACTTACTGATTTTTCGAAAAAACTTTTAATAACAGGTTTCCAACTGTACTCTTTGGTAGCTGAAGCATCTACTAGTAGACCATCATTCAGTTCACATAATGCTGATATAATGCACGGTGGATTTGCTGGTACCTTGAAATCATCTTGTAGCCAATTAGATGGTAAACCTATATAAAACAGGTGTAAGAATTGTAAAATTGTGTATTGTCAATGGCAATGATAAATAGAAACAAAAACCTTTCAATAGCTTAAGTAATTTAAGAAGGTAGATCCTTAAACAAATATTGATCCCTCAATATTATGGACTTATATTGCTTACAAGCTGTGACCTTCCCTAGCACCTTAATGATGAGACATATATTCATAATGTTGTAAGAAAATTTACAAAAGTAAAATTAATTATATATCTGAACTTTACTACCTTATTGGCTAACTGTATTACTGAGGATTACAGGATACACTCTATTATTGAGGATTACAGGATGTCAATTAAAAAATCTCTCTTAGGTATCTTAATCAGATTAAGTAAAAAAAGCACAACTAACCTTTAAATGCAGGATCTATCAAGTCAATCCTTCTGGCCATAAAGGCATTAGCAAACACAAAATCCAAGCAGGCCAATAGCAAATGATACATATCAACCAAATCATGGGCAGATCGGTGAAATTCTCCCTTCACACATATGTACAGACACCAGGTAAACTCAAAAAGAGCATTTGTTGAGCATGGTTGTAATCTGTAGAAAACATAGAATCATCACATTACGTAATTAGACTGGAATATGCTATGTACTGAACCTACAATAGGACTTCCTATGAGTAAAATTAAACATTATATTTCTTGCATTGGATTTTTCTCTAATATTGACATTATTCAGTTTAGTGTATTGACCTTAGTTCATATTCTTTCCTATTTAAAAGTATTTAAATTATTAACCGTCCGTGTGGTGACGGATTAAGAATACAAATTGTCACCACCCCAATTCATCCCGTGGGTGTCGTAAGAGCCGACTAAGGGAGCAAACTAAGCAGGACAACAGCACTGCAAAGAGAAGGAAAACTTGAAACAAACCCTATACCAACCCGTCTGGCCAGCGTGGTATAGTAGGCCAAAACCTCCTTTCTAAGGAGAGGCCTATGTCCAGCAGTGGACTAGTATAGGCTGTTGATGATGATGATGATGATGAAATTATTAACTATAAATTATTTATTGACACTATAAAACTATTTAATTTCAATGGAATTACCAAACAAGCCATGTAAGAAATGGGAGGTGTCTCAATCAGATTTCTCATACATAGCTGCCTAATGATCCCAAACTAAGCAGATCTTGTACTGGACTGGTTATAAACTTTTTGATATATTAACACAGACATTTTTATAAAGTAGCTGGTACCCACAGCTTTGTTTGAGTGGAATTTGAAAGGCTCTGCCCTAGTGGGTTCGATTCCCGGACCGAGCAAAATTTTATAGGGTTTTTCTGAGGAAAAATAGCCTAAGTTACTCCTTATATAGACAGCTACCTGGTTGTCAAATATTATCAAACGGTCAAACCGTTTAGAAGATTACCCAGAACATACAGGCAAATAAAAAAAATTAAACTGGTTTTTAGGCATAGGTAAAAGAAAGTTATTTTAACATTACAAATAGACCCTTCAATTTTATTTATTTGTATAGATTACATCCAGACAACAAAGGATGTCTTTCATTTTTAAATTTTTTGTTAATACATTTTGTATGTGTTCTACATGAGGTTTGAGAGTAGTATTATTTATTTTAAAGTTAAGTTCTTCAATATTATATGTTAGTCAAATATTGAAATATTACTTACTTTGGCCTTCTCTTAGCACTTGATTTTAAAGGCTCATTAGTTAAATTTAAGAAAATCTCCTGAAAAATAGGTTGGAACTTTCTGAAGAGCACAGTAGACACAGCAAATTTGTGTTGCAAATGAGATATTCTATCTTTAAACTCAGTAGACATTGCAGCCATCTCCATCCAGTTTTTGATTTTTGTAAAAAATTGTATAAGGCTATAAAGAAAATTCCCAATTGTAGTAAAAATATACTAAGATACTACTTAATAATATTATATATACATTTTCTTATTTTTATATTTAAGATTTAACAATACCTTATGTTGCAAAGTCTTAGAAGTCTTGTGAGGCTCACACAGTTTCCTTCTACTGCTTTTCCTGTCTGGACAGTAGGTGTGATAGATGTGCGGCATGCCACATAAAGGGCACATGCCATCCAGTGTAACATATCACCCTATAATGTTAAGATACCATATAATATATATTGTTCAATTTGTTTCTTATATTTTATTAACTGACCACTCAGATGTTGAAATGGGTTTGCAGCTTTGGGTATGTTGCAATATATATTTAAATGGACCTAAAGTATTCATAAATAGCTGAGGCAGAAAAAAGGCTGCATGAGGCTCCTCTGTTACCTTCGAATGTCAAGGAAAGGGTTAAGTATAATTAATTACTTTAGTTATTGTATCATAATTAATGTGTGAAGTCAATTATTTTCTGGTAAGTTATGATGATTTTAAAGATAAAGCTGGGCAATCAGTATTATTTAAAAAATGCCTTCCTAGTGAGAGGCCTATGTCCAGCAGTGGAATACTAAAGGTTGATACATTCTTGGCATTGGTTCAATAGTAAAAGTTAAGTACCACTTATCACTATAAAGAGATGCTATTTTTCATGAATGTCGGCAATGATTGACGTCATGCTTTTAAAATATATAAGTATAGTCTAGTGATAATATAATGAGTTGTAAGATGCGGTAGAGCAGAATAATTCACACACTTTGTTCAAATGATTTTTTTTTAAAGGATTGGTAACATTCAACGAAAGAAAATTAGAAATAAACTAGATATAACACATTAAAAAAAGGATAAAACAATATACTCACATCTAAAGAATAATTCCTTTTTATCTCTAAAAAGGACTCCTTAGATTTTTTTGCTGCGACAGGATCAACATTTAAGTTCGAACAAAGACTGTCCATTTTAGCCATCCAATTTTCTTCACTGTCCTCCAAATTAGACATTGTTAATATAGCTTTAATAATTTATTGATTTATAATTAACATAAAAATAAACAACCTACTTCTCGTAAACTTATCCCAATTTTGACAATTTGACAGCTATTTGGCGGGAACAACGTTCCTCCTCCCACGCGCGGCAATTTTGTCTATGGTTTTAAGTCCTGGGCGATTAAAAGGTTGATCTTACTAGCCAGTTCTTATTCAAAACTTTGATTCGACAAACTTGTTTTCTTTTGACTTTAAATAAATTATAGTAAAAAATAATAAAAAATACGCTTTTGTCACAAGCAGAAAATAATTTTCGTAAAAAAGCGTGGGGTACTATCTCACTTGTAAAAATGTTTTATTGACAGATATAGGTGAAAGTACAAAAGTATGTTTTAAAGTTTTTTAAACGATAATTTATTTTTGATTTATTGGTCATGATGATTATTTTCTTATTTAGACTAAAAAAGAAATAAGTAGGTAAGTCAGATATGCTTCAGCAGACGCCTCTTAGAACATATCAAAAGACAGTTACCGTATTTTTAGGTACGGAAAACCCCGTTAATCCTGAAGATTAAGATTTTTTTTTTATATTCTACCACATTCACACAATCCCATCTATTCCTAAACTTAGCAGAGCTTGTACTATGAGTACTAGACAACTGATATAAATACATATATACTTTTAAAAAAATATTTAAAATTAATTTATTTTTTAATTTTACTTTTTTTTTTGCAAATATATACATATTAAATATCAAACACCCAAACCAAATAAAACTTTAAAAGTTCATTCACACAAATGTTTGACTTGAGCGGGAATCGAAACCGCGACCTTTGTAATAGCAGTCCATTACACAAACCAATCCGGTCGTTAAATATTATAATGGGCTATTTTTATAAAATTATTGAATTGTCATCAGTCATTGATGTGTGCCAAGTTTCAATTTAATTTAATTTTAAAGTGGTTCAAAATAACGTTCGAAGATTCCGTTACATACATACGTAGATACATACACACATACCAAGCTAATAAAAGCGTGTTAAAAATACTCCCCTCTACTAATTTTACATTTGTAACTTTTTTTGAAATCTCATATTATAATTTTTTAGTACAGTACAAAAATATTTAACAACGTCCATGTAGTACAGTAGTTTATTACTGAAGAAAGCATTCGTATACTACTTCGGTTTTCTTATTTGCTAAAACAGTTTTCCGACAAAATGAATTAAACCATAAGATTCTTCTTATAATATGCACTTCAAGAATTCTGTTTTTTCTTACTGAAAGTCAAAGCAAACTATTACTTTTTATGGATTTTATTTAAAAGTAGACTTGAATTGTCTCTTGTGATGTGACGTGTTAGAACCATGGAGATAAAGCATAGCAACGAGCAGCAGGCAATAAGAGAGATGGATTCTAGGTAGTTCCCTCTATCTCTTTTTAGTCGACCTCTGTCTTTGGTTGGGGAATATGAGAGGTTAAAAAGGCATACTGATTTTTACTTTTATTTTGCCAAACTCTTTTTAATATAAAGTTGTAAATTCAAAACGAAAAATGAGGCATTGTTTTCAATGCAAAGAGGCTTACTCTCCTCTGAACAAACGTAGTTTTTAAAAGTTTAATTCTAACCTCAATCATTTTCATTTTATTACAATTATTCTACTAGTGTGTGTAATTTATTAGGTTGCCAAAAGGTGCTGTTTGATTTTAGGTAAACACAAAATTGAAATTAAGGTAAATATTAAGTAAATCTTAGGTTTTTAAGATTATAGAAAATATATAGATATTCGAATAATATTTTATATAGATATTTTTACCGTGGGAGAGTCATGCTTCGGTACGAATTATACCACGGCAAGCAATTCTTTGGTTGCCTTTCACTGAGTGAGTGAGGTTACCGGAGTCCAAATCCCCCGCTGACTCGAGCGGGAGGGACTCCAAGGGCAGCAACGCACTTGTGACTTTTGAGTTGCCGGTGTCCATGGGCGGCGGTAGTTGCTTATCATCAGGTGACCCGTCTGCTCGTTTGCCCCCTTATACCATAAAAAAAATGACACACGAATCAAAACTTGCTAATGATCAAAAGGAAAAAGTCCGCATGCAAAACCATAAGATTACCGAAAGTCGTATATGCAAAATAAGTTTGTCAGACTTATAATATTATTTTTTTAATACACTGTGTTTTATTTATTTCTTTCGTTGAACTATACTTCATTTATATATTTAATTATAAATTAATAAAAAGGTAAAACATTTATTTATAGATAATGCTTTTATTTTATAATTTACAATATAGTTTAGCTTGATATTCTAATTTTAAGTTGTTTTTTTTTATATACAAATTTCCTAATTTTTTTTACAAAATGTTTATCAGTTGAGGTTATTCAGTTTAAACTGCCGTCATTCAGAATTCCTAAAAACCATTACTTTACTACTTGTGCATTTAAACATTAACATGGCTTTTAAATGTTTACCTCAAGTTATTGAGCTATGTGTTTTGTATACCTTGTGTTTGAATTATTTACACCCAATTTGTTTAAGAAATTTCTACTCTCCCGCCTGTTCTACGATCAAAACCATGCCCTAATCGCAGCTTAACTCAACAGAGCCAGAGGGGTCTCTTGGGCATCTATCTCCCTCTTTGATTTTATCGCTTCCACTCACAGGCAGCTTTACCACGGTACAATTATAATACAGTAGTGTAACTCGGCCGCATGACAGAAATAAATGCCTACAGCCGCGCGGTACGTAAACATGCGTTAGGGCCGCCCGTCTCCAGCATTTTAATTATATTTGCCTACTTTCTGTCTCTATTTAGATTTGTGATTGTAAATATCCTTTTTATATTGAATAGGAAGTGTTCAATAAAAATGCGTGTTGTTTTTTGATTGGTAGATTTAATTATTTTATTTTCTTTCTGCATTGGAGGAGTTCAAGTTTCAATTTTCTTTTTCTTGGAGTGTTGCTAGAGAGACTCGTTGAGGTTTGTGCAAAGATTTCATTTGTTGCATTTTCAGTCTGTGTACTATTTTCAATTCCTACCAACGGAGCAGTTTGGGTTTGTTCATCTTCTTTTAGAGAGACTCCTGGATCAGTACTAGCTAAAATTGGCAGCATCAACAATGGTAGGGCATTCTTTTTTTAAAGTTTTCTATTTGATTAATGTAATACATCCTCCAAATTAAAATGTTTTTCACAAACTTGGTAGGAACTAAAGTTAGGTTTGTTTTCCAAATCATCTCGCCGGATCAGTTGCAACCATTGAAGACGTCTGAAAAAAAAATACAAGTGGCACTCTCGGTGACTGCCGCGGTAAAGTTATTGCATAACTTTTTTTTTTTAAAGAACAAAATCTGCGTGGTGTCAGGTATTTTCGTAAGGTTTTGAGAATTTCTTGATTCGGTCAGAGCCCGCGATAAAAGCAATAGCAAATGCAATAGCTTAAAAATCCTTCTATAGAATAAAAAAATGTGTTTTCTCCTTACGCGTTACAAAACTCCAATCCTTAGAAACTCCAACACCTACCTACTCAACTAGAATGTAAGAAACAGCTGCCGAGTAAGAAACTTTTTATCTCAGATTATTAACGTCTCTATAAATTAGGTACCTACCTACAACTCGCAACAACTCAAAACAAAAATTCTTTGGTCACCAATTAATTAATTATTAAAAGCTGAACAGCTGACTACGAATGTTTTAAAATCACAACCCTCAAACATCTAAATATAATATATGAGTTTAGCTGTTGTTGTTAATACCGAGAAAATAAAACCAGTTTTTAGTGGTATATGTTGTTATAGTAGCAGCAGAAACACTTTGTGAAAATTTCGAAAACTATCAAATGACACACAGACGGTAAAAAATGTTTTCTAGTATTATTCATACACACAGATAATAAACAAATATTATTAATAATAAAACACCACGTCTTTACTTTGAATTATGCAAAGCAACAAAACACACATGCACCGAAGTTTTAACACAAGCGTAAGTAGGTAGGTACCTACCGTATCATGATTCATTCAGAACCGCATATAACTACCTATTTCACTCGTCTCAATAACTTTCCGTTACTCTATTCGCTTTATTTATTAATCCAAACACCTTTTTTTTCGTGAGATAAAAGGAAATACTTATCCATTAAAAAGACACACTTTATGTACCTACCTACTAGTAAGTAAAATTATTTTATAGTCTTACCTTTCAGAGTTTCCAGGTAATTTAAAAAAACTTATGTCTGGATGCGTTATTGACGAATTCATACAACCATAAACAGCATAATATTTCGTACTCGTCATATTAACTGATTTTTAGAGAAAAAAATCGCGCGGTTATTGTTAAAAAAACAACACACCGTCCGTTCGACACTACGGTACAGCCGTGACTGTCTGCGCCCCGAGCGCACCCCGAGATCGAGGCGCGTAGGTATAGCTCGCGTTTCGTCCGTTTGTATGAAGTTGGAGTACTGTATTATAATTGTACCGTGGCTTTACCCAGTGTTCACTACTCTATGCCTATATCTCTAAGAGCCGAACGTGCTGAGATTTTCTCTATCTATAAGCAGATACTCTAAGTCGTGTTCTGAATTCTGATTTGAATTTCGAATTTAATATTCCATTTGACATTTTGATCACATAATTAATGTAGCATTTCTGGTTTAAACTCCAAAAACTCCAGAATTGCATTCATAGTCTTCGTAGTTGTATGATGTTTTTAAAGCAAACGTGTGTTCTTGGAAAATATTTTTAAAATATTTGATTTCCTTGATTGTGAGTCAGTTAGAATGCTTTCTTTTCAGCGACTTTACCATGTCTCAAGCGTCACTTGTAGTTTAAAAAAACAGGGTATAAAACTGTGTAAAATGGTTAATCCTCAGAGCAAGAAGTAAGATTGTGAAAACTTTAATAATCAATTATAGTTCAAACGTATTAGTGCTTATTTTTAAGGTTATGTTTTTATTTATTCTTTCAGACAGTCTTGGTATCCAGCACCAATGTTTGATGACACACTGCCTACTATCAAGAGCCTGACTAAAACTAAACACGAACCTGGAAAGCGAGGAATACGAAGATCCTCCATGCTGAACAAAATTTTTATGAAACAAATTACTGATTTAATGTCTACTGGTACAGTTGCCATGAATATCGTCGGAAGAGGCATTGAGATTTCTAAAGTATGCAAATAGTATTATTGTATATTCTAGAAAGAAAAAAACCAACACCTAAACTGGGTAATAAGTATTGAATTGATTTTTCTCTGATCTGTAATATGCATTCCAGTATTTATTGACATAAACAGAGAAAGTATATTAGTTAAGTTTTCATTGGTAATGGAGACATGTAAAGTTTTGAGCGTCTGCTAATCTAGGTTCCAGCTTGACCCTTCTGTTTACATCATCATTAGTGGTAAAAATGCTTTAAATAGGCAAATCTACAAATTACTGATTTGATGTCTACTGGTACAGTTGCCATGAATATCGTCGGAAGAGGCATTGAGATTTCTAAAGTATGCAAATAGTATTATTGTATATTCTCGAAAGAAAAAAACCAACACCTAAACTGGATAATAAGTATTGAATTGATTTTTCTCTGATCTGTAATATGCATTCCAGTATTTATTGACATAAACAGAGAAAGTATATTAGTTAAGTTTTCATTGGTAATGGAGACATGTAAAGGTTTGAGCGTCTGCTAATCTAGGTTCCAGCTTGACCCTTCTGTTTACATCATCATTAGTGGTAAAAATGCTTTAAATAGGCAAATCTATGTCTACCCCTAAACTTACTTATAATCAGTGATCCTGTACCATTAGAATGACAACGACGAACTACGAAACCAGAAGAAAATATTAGAACACTAAGAATTTCTTAAATTAAATGCACAAAAGGTAAATAGAGGTAGGCATAGCACAGACAAAAAGAGGTCTTTGTAGATTTTTTCTTTGGAGATATTATGAGTGAGCTTAATATTTTTTTCTTATTATAATAGTATGTCAATTTTGTCATCATTAAAATGATGAAAAAAAAGAGATAGAAAGAAAGACCAAAAGAGCAGTAGTATCCACTGCTGGCTCTTCTCTTCTCTTTCTCTCCTTGGCCCCTTTCTGAAACCATAACAAACCACTCTGTGGGTAGTAGTATTATAGATAGTAGATGAGCTGAAGTATAACAATTGATAAAATTTCAAACTACTTTCAGGTGAAGGTGACCCCAGATTTCCAAACAGTTAATGTATTTTGGGTTTGCAAAGGAACTGCATCTGATGATGAAACTGAACTTGTTCTCCAAAAAGTAGCTGGTGCACTAAGACATGAATTATCCACCCTAAGAATTATGGGAGAAATACCATACATTGTTTTTGTTAAAGGTGAGAGAGACAATTGATCACACGGTGAATATATTTTTGACCTTTAACAGCAGGTATAAATTAAAATAGTAGGTTAGGTATATTCAATAACACCCATTATCCATTTGAAATTAATATTTTTGTTAATTTTATAATAGGTTTAAGTTGCCCTGAATTAAACCATTGTGCATTTCTAGTTTTTAATTTAAAAATGTATGTAAGTTAAATAATAATAATATTCTAGCACATTCACACAACACCATCTAGTCCCCAAACTAAGGACAGCTGGTACTATGGCTACTAGACAACTGATACAAATACATATGTATATACTTTTTTTTGTAAATACATTGACATTATACAAAAACATACCTACATATTATACATAGAAACACCCAGACCAAATGTAAGGTTTTTGTTGTACTAAAAAAATAAATTTTCAAAAGAGTATTTTACAAGAGCATTTAGAATATAGTTTTATTTATCTATAGTATATTTTTGTTTAGATTTAATATCTACTTAAGATATTAAATTTTAGATTTACTTATTTAAATTTAATATATCTTAGTCATAGTACATTAACCTGATAATATTTTATTACTATTTGCCTTAATTATCTTACAGACAAGCAAGAAGCTCAGATTGCAGACTTAAACAATCGTTTAGCAGTAGCAGATTATGGCGAAGATTATGTGATGACTGAGGAAGGGCATCTACTAAAGTCTGAATTTGTACTTAACACCAAGTTATCACCTGAAGTTAAGGTATATATGATGTCTAACTTACTATACTCCAAATGATTATATAAAGCCAGTATACATAGTGAATAAAAATGACACATGTCATTTTCTGCAAAAATTTATATCAATTGCAACAAACTGCAACTCCATAAACAAAATGGGACCCATGTAAATGCAAGTGTGGTGTAAAGATTGAAATAATTTGCTGCAAGCACAACACAAAAGATTTTTCCATCCTTTTGAAGGTAACTTTTCTGTAGCTTGTTAACAGAGCAGGGCAAATTATGTCATCAATATATTAAATACAGTATTGGCACCACTTCTAATTCAAATACATAAAATTGCCAACAAAAGCCTCGACAGGCACTGTGGTATCCCAACTTAATCTTTGTCCTGGGATGAATGCCTCCACTATATTTAAAACATCAAAAGCTTTGCCTTAACTGTCGCTAGAAACATACCATCATACAAATAATCATATGTTAAGTCAAAGAACTGGCAGACTAACTATAAGTTAAAATTAGAAAACGGGCACAAGTCTATACATATATTCATATCTGAACTTCTTTGTAACCTTTTTTAAACAAGTTTTGTTCCTAGCAGGAATGTGAGGTTTGGAATACTTTGTTTTATCAATATGTTAAAAATTGTCACAAAAACATTGCCAAAACGCAATTGGTTCAAATGCAGTTAGTTCAAAATGCAATTCGTCCAATATGTAATTATGTATTTTTTTTTTTTATGCTACTGCTAAGTACCGCTAAGTAAGAAGTTACACTTTTCTAAATGATGCATTTCTTATACTTCTTGAAATATGGTCCTAATTTACTTTGTAATATTCTACAAATTTCTAATGTTTTAGGCTAAAATTAAACAATTGGAGGATGAACTACCGGTAGACGAAGAACCTTTACCTGAAATGAGTAATAACGTATTTGGTTTGGACCACACAAAGATTATGAACAGACTTTTGGCAGCCAGGAAGAAAACTTCCGATGCCTGGAATAACCTGGATGCAAATAGTGATGTGATTTCATATAGAGCTCCTGTTAATGCGCTGCCTGAACCCTCGATTAGCACCCAGACAAAGGAATTGGCCGATTTCCTGTTGCAGCGGCAGGTTTGTATATTTTGTAGTAATTCTACGAATACACGTACATTTGTATATAAGTACATGATCATTATCCTCCTACCCGTTTTCCAAATTTATCTGGGGTCGGTGCAATGTGTTTTCGGTGTGTCGGTGCAAACACACACACACACACACACACACACACACACGCACGCACGCACACACACCGCACACGCACGCACACACACCGCACACGCACACGCACGCACACGCACACCACGCACACACACCGCACACGCACGCACACACACCGCACACGCACGAACACACACCGCACACGCACGCACACACCGCACACGCACGCACACACACACACGCACACCCACACCCACACGCACGCACACACACACACGCACACCCACACGCACGCACATGCACACGCACGCACATGCACATGCACATACACATACACACACACACACACACACACACACACACACACACACACAACACTTCGTTCGTTTTTGCGTCGAGGGTTAAAAATAGATATAGATACGACACATGACATACATATATGCGACACACAAAAATCATTATTGCGCTATTCCATTTTCATATAATACAAATATGCTTAGTTAAATCGAAGTGCGTTTTGATAGTAATGATTTATTAATCTATAGCTGTGATAAAACACTTAATTCTTTCTTATTTCTCCCTAAGATTCTCAATAAGAAGATAGCCCAACGAACAAAGAATACTCGTGATGATTGGCAACTACAGGTTTCATCCTTGCATGAAGATCCAGATTATAACCCTGATGAGTACTACTACGATGATGTCGATGACCTTGATGAGGAGGAAGACGAGGAGTACTACCATGGTGGTTACGAATCCGATGGACTAGAGGAGTTAGAGACGGCCACGCCGAAGGAATGATGCGATTTTATTTCAATAATTTATTTATAATTAATAAAGGTTTTTTTTAAGTCTTGTAGTTTTTTATTTCAGAATTCATCTCGTAAAGAACAAATTAATAATAATCATAAATATCTATGTCCAGCAGTGGACTATTAAAGTCTGTTGATGTGATGTGATATGATATATATGTAAAATATATATTAATGAATACATACAATTCAAAGTTAAATCATATAACCCGCGTCGCGTCGCTTCCGGTGCAACGGACATCTTTTGCACAAGAAACGAGCCGGAGCGAGAGTCTCCACCTTTATCCCTACCTCTGCGATCAATCTCCGCAATTACACCTGTAGCTTTCGACGCCTCTGTCCCCGATTCCAATGGCGGATCCAGGGGGTGGGTCATGGGGGTCATGACCCCCCCTGGGCTGGGTCATAAACATAGGTAATGGTTTTAAGGATTTTTTCTTGTCACTTCACTAGTTTTCCCGTTTACCCCTCGTAAACGGGAAAACCTAGTGTATTCCCGTTAACCCCTCCTGCTAAGCTAAATTGCTTGTGTTAGAAGTGTGTTCACGTCGGTAGTGTACAGGTCAGGATTCGAATCCACTACCTCTTGATCGCAAGTCCAATGCCTTAACCACTAGGCTATCGCCGCTACGAAGTAGTGTAATGGTTAATTAAAAAATCGCCATACATCGTCATTTTTTTTGATACTACTTCAGGCCGCATCTGGCCCTTTGTAACCCTAGACATCCATACTAATATTATGAATTTGAGTGTCGTGTCGTGTCTGTCTGTCTGTCTGTCTGTTACTCTTCACGCTTGAACCACTGAACCGATTCAGATGAAATTTGGTATGGGGATAGTTTTTTTTTTTAATTAAAAGAGACAACTCCCGCATTAGGAATATATCCTGTGTCGCGGGGGTCTTTACAAATTTACATACATGAAACGGACACAAAGAACACCCAAACTCAGAACAACAATTTGTGGATCACACAAAGTGTCGTCTCGTGTGGGGTTTGAACCCACAACACTCGGCGCAGTAGGAAGCGGCGTGGCGACCGCTTAAACCACTGCGCCATCTGTGCAGTCTTTCGTGAAGTTTGATTCTTGAAAAAGGACATAGGCTACTTTTTATCGCGATAACCGACATACACTCGGGAAAAAGCTAGTACATTAATATAAACATAAAGTGTTGCAACTTGCAAGACTAAAAATGTTATGTTAAAGTTATGTCTCTTTTGACGATATTATGTTTTGGTTGCCTTCTTTTACATTTTTGACTTATGAACAAAGATTCCTTATTTTAACCCAACTCCAACCGAATCGAACCGACTAAAACCACACGGTGTGCCACTCTGCGCCTGAAATACTAACTAATAATAAGCTAAATATACTAATAATAAACAATTGTTTAATTACATCACTGGTGTCGCCGCTAACTGACGGAGGGAGGGAGGGAGAAAGTGCTGATTGTAATAGTGAAATAAATAATTCAATAGTGAAATAAATAATTCAATTGAAAGAAAAAAGTCTACCCCATCTCTTAACCTATTGCTTGTTTTGAAATACCAAATGGTTTGGAAATTAAGTCTAATCGTTTTTTTTGTCGCGGTCACGACCCTTAGGCAAGCACCCCTTGAGCCGCGAGGGCGTAGGCGGTGGCCTTCGACGCCCAGGCTTTACGCCGCCTCTGATGACAGCCTGTGAGCTGAGCTCAATACAGATAACTGACAATTGATAAAGTTTCTAATATTGACCTAAATATAATAAATACGGAAGATCCGGGAACTGCTCTTAAGACATCCGGATCCTTCCTAGCACCAGCCCGCAACGGTGCGGCCACCGCCTTCGCGTACATCCTCTAATTAGGCAACGTCCGGCACTCGCGGATATCCTCTAATTAGGCAACGTCCGGCACTCGCGGATGGCGCCTCCTCGCTGGCTGGCTGGCCTGGCAGGTGGAGGGGAAACCACGTTTCGTCCACCCGCGGCCACACTCGGCGGCGGCATGAGGCGCTGGTAACCGCGCTTCCGCCGCTCGGTTCGTCGGCTGTGAATCGGGTCCGAGTGAAGATCATCCTCCCGGGCCCTCTCCGCCGTGACCAAAATGTCATAGGCGTAACAAATTAGACCCAGCCCGAAGGGAAAATCAGCTCGAAGGGCTCAGTCGTACCCTATGTTCCACAGGAGTCGTCCAAGGACAGACTCTTGCGCTGTTCCCGCACGACATGGCCTGATTCCTCAAAACACCATCTCGGTCCTCGTACATGGCGATATACTCCTCTAAGTAGTCTGCCACTAGCCGCCTCAGGTACCCTGGCACCCCATGATAGAGGAGTGCTTCCCTGATGCGGCTAAATGGCAGATTGTTGAATGCGTTGGTGATGTCTAACGACACCGCCAACAGCACGCCGCCGCAGCTCACCGTCTCTTCCGTCACGGCCCTCAGGCGCAACACAGCACCGACAGTCGAACGACCGGCTCAAAAGCCGAATTGGGCGCCCGACACATCAGGGCCAACCTCGCGCAAGTGCCGGACGATGCGAGCAGAGAGGACCCTCTCAAACAATTTACCCGCTTCGTCAGGCAGTACGATGGGCCTGTTGGCCGCGACCGAATCGGCAGACCGTCCCGGCTTCCTCAAGAGCACTAACTGCCCGCTCTACCAGCACTCAGGGAATTGTCCGGCCGCCAAACTAGCTTCGAACACCTCCCCAAGGCGGTCTGTCATGTGATTGAGGGCCAGGGCCAGCACTCGGGCAGGGATCCCATCTGGTCCAGGGGCGGTTTTCTTGGAACGGATCCGTGGAACAGCCGCCCCTATCTCCGCATCCGTGACATCGATGGGGATGTGTGCTCCGCCCGTTGAGGGAAAAGGCCCTCAACCACCTATTGCAGGAAGTTGGGCTGGAGAGGCAAGGCCAGTTGTTGAGTTGTCGACACTCCGTCCAGGATCTCTAGAACACGTCTCAGGAGCACGTCCCATGCGTGCTGCATGCCATGGGATTGAGGTCTGGCGATTGTGCAGGTCACTGCAATACCCGGATGTTTTCCCTTGCCAAGTACTCGCCGGTCCTACGGCTCCTGCTAACTGTGTGCGAGCGCGCATTGTCATCGCTCAGCGTAAAATCTGAGCCAAGACTGTTCACTCATTTGCGTGAACATAAGGCCCATTTTTCAAAATCTGTATTTCTCAAAAAGATAAAAGTGAGATAGATACTAAAATCAAGCAACGAAAACATATGAAATCGAGAAAGATTATAGATTATAGATTTATTTTAATGGAAACAAAACATATTCGAATCCCTTGTGAACGCGGCCAATTTCAGCATTTTCATAAAAATTAAAATAAAACGAATTATTTGGTTACACGTTATACGTCACTAGCCGGCAGTGGCGTAGTTACTCCAGTGGTGTCGTTGACAAGAGACGGTGTGGTTACCTAATTTAAAATTATTTATCTATTTGTATTTATATATTCATCATTAATTTAAATATTTGTAATATTCAAATTTATTTTCTGTTTTACATACTTTATTGCTAGTTTATCCATATAATTTTTATTTACAAGATTATATCGATCTAAAATAGAAAAAAATATATATAGTGTAAGCGAATATATCGCTCTATGTGTCCGCTTTTCGGGGCCTCGGCGAAGATAGGGACCCTTAGTCGGTACTAACGATAGGGTACTAGAAATCATACGCGTAGCTATTAGTTTATCACTGACGAGAGCGAAAAGCCGTACTCAATCAAAAGTACCGCCAGTGCCTGGACATGTTTGGTAGACACGTATAAAAATCATTCAGAATACTAGAGTAAATCTTATATCTGTGGCTTGGCGTCCAGGCCAGTCAACTTTCTATATACGAAATCAATTAACCTTGTAGTACTAGTAGAATTAACAGTATCGTGGGAAAACAACATCACTAAAGACCCCGCTTTAAAAAAGAATACTTATAAGCTACGAAATACCTAGACATGGCTATTTCGTTGCATTGTATGCCGTGACAGTAATCTCAGTGATCAGTGACAGTGATCTCTATAAAATGCTTAAAGACCTTGGATTACCAAAAGCTTCGGTAAGCTCTTTTCTTAAACAAATTTCCAAAGTGGCATTTTCAGGATCATATCAAATACGGTTAGGTAGAATTAGATCACAGCGGACAGTGGAGGTGAGCGCTGACGCATCGCAAGGAGTACTCCCTAAACTGCCTAAACCTACTACTGGGTCTCTTACAAGTCCCAGGCGCTCGCTGTCGCTGTCGCATCTGTCACGCGATGGACCCGGCATCCGCACGGTGCATCCATAGAAGGTCTTCCAATGCTATTAATAATTTAATAATAGTTACATATTAATCTCACAACAATAAAAGCACATTCATTGCGAATGTTAATTAATAAGTATATAGGAAAACTCAATCCCTACAATACCCGCGATAATTTTAAGTACTTGGTATACAATACAGTACTGTATTGCAATATAACAGGCCCGCATTTTTTTTATTAAAGATATCAAGTTGTTTTTATATTTTATTACCTACTAATTAAGGACGGCACGATACACAGTGTCATGAAAGCCGATTTGCGGTCATCTCCATTTTAAATGTACCTACACTTTTAGAAAAAACAATCAATAAGGGCCAAAAAAAATTTCATGTTAAATCTTTCATGCTTCTAGTTTTTTTTTTATATTAAATGTTTTTGGCGTTATATGGATTCACCTTAAGTATCGATGAAAAAGAAAACACATAATTTAACCTTTAAAAATTTTTTAGGAGGCAACGAGCGGAGGCAAATAATAACAATGTGCCTTTTTTTTTTTTTAACGTGTGGAAATCCCCTCGGACCGTCACCCCACCGGGGTTTGCGGCGGGGTGGTGTGTCGGACTCGGACCGACTAAAACCACACGGTGTGCCACTCTGCGCCTGTAATAGGAGGGATCCGGGAACAGCTGTTATTAAGACATCCGGACCCCTCCTAGCGCCGGCCCGCTCCTGTGGCGGGCTCCGTCTCAAAAATTTTTCCTCTCTTTATAGGAGACGTCCGGCACACGCGGACGCCGCCCCCTCGCGGCTGGCCAAACTAATGCGGGTGGAGGGGAAACCCACCCCGTCCACCCGCGGCCACACTCAGGGCGGCATGAGGCGGTGATAAGCGCGCCTCGGATCGGGTCCGAGTGGAGGTCGTCCTCCCGGGCCTTCTCCGCCGCCTCCTTCTGCGAGATTACTTCCTCGCAGAAGGTTGCGACCGCGGTAAAACAACTGTCGCTACCGGCCATGGAGCGTATTACGGCCAGTAGCGAGAGATCCACTCCGATGACTGCAGTGAGGGCCCGGCGCTGCGTCGCCCATGCGGGGCAGAACGCCAGCGTGTGCTGGGCCGAGTCCTCACTGCAGTCGCAGTGGTGGCAGGCGGGACTCAGTTCCCTCCTAGCGACCGAGTGCAGGTACTTTCCGAAGCAACCGTGCCCGGAAAGCACCTGCGTCAGCCGGAAGGTAAGGGTCCCGTGCTGCCGCCCTGCCCACTCGGCGATGACCGGCTGGAGAGCCTCCACGGCGGCGAAGCCAGCGCGTGGAGTCTCCAGCCGGAACGACCAACGAGCCATCGTGGCTCGGCGAGCGGCTTCGCGCCACTCGCGCACGTTTTCGGGCGGAGGGCGAAATCCACTCTCCGCCCGGGAGTCAGCCACTCGCCGATAAACTTCGGCGAGCACTTCCGCCTCCAAATCCCACGGGGGAGTTCCGGCCAACGCGCACGCCACTTCCGTCGAAACGGTGCGGTAACCGCGTATGGCTCTGACCGCCATTACCCTCTGAGGGCGCCAGAGGCGTGCCCTATTCTGGGCGGTCAGAGCCGCCGCCCACACCGGTGCACCGTATAGTGTCATTGACCGGACAACCCCCGTGTACAGCCGTCTTGTCGCGACGCTGGGTCCACCCAAATTGGGCAAAAGTCGCCCTAGGGCAGACGCAGCGCCGACCAGCTTTGGAGCAAGCTGTCGGAAGTGCTCGTCGAAGAGCCACCTCCCGTCGAGGATCAGGCCCAGATATTTCATCTGGGCCCGAACCGGTACGAGGACCGAGTTGACCACGATTGAGGCGCCAGGGGGTGGACCACGACGGGGCCCATGAAATAACAGAGCCTCCGTCTTATCTAGGGCCACCCGTAAGCCCAGCGCCTCAATGCGCCCGACCACCAGGGAGACTCCCCTTGTGGCCAGGCGCGCCGCCTCTTGGAAATAACAATGTGCCTGCAACATCCTATATGCAACTTTGTTGTTATTTGCCAAAGCATATAATATTTTGACAAACTTTCGCGAGGTCCCTTTTTTCAATGGCAATATATCCCACGGCAGCGAATTGGTTTTCCAGTTTTGACTTGAACGTTTCAGATCCTATCATGGCTTGGAGCAAACAGACACGTTCAGCCTTAAAGTTGATATTCAGAGAGCCCCGGACAAGTCGGTGATCACTACCGGTATTAAACCTATTGATTACTGAGACGTCTCTGAATATGTGCTTTCTGTCCGTCATGATGAAATCGATCTCATTTCTGGTCAAAGCGTCGGGGCTTTGCCACGTCCACTGAATAGATATTTCATTGTAATTTATGCGATCGATTCATGAAGATGTGGAGTTTTAATCTTAGCTTAATTAGGTAAAAAAAATGTCTTTTGAAAGCTAGAGTTTGTACTCTAGTGTTTAAAAGACACCCCTTGTATAAAAAAAACACAGAAATATACATAGGAAGAAACGAAAGTTAACTAATTTTTTTTGTGTAATATAATTTAGCAAAAATGTTTTTAAATAATATTGTGGTTAATCTGTGTGTGTATGTATAATTCCTACGTCTATGTCGACGATTATCGATATAGGGCGTTTCAAGAAAAGGATTTTCTTTTTCTTCTCGAAACCTAGCTCAATAGTTTGGTTTAGAAGCAAAACTAGGCCTCTGATAATGTAAGCCCTTAATATTAATATACTCCGCATCGCACTTTTCGATTTTCCCATAAGAATAACACAGGAAAAGAAAAACTTCTGATTTTTATAACTAATGAACGAGAAATTGCACTGCAATGTCATTCAAATATTTTTGTACAAAATTGAACGCTCTACAAAAAAGAGCGATGTAATGTTTAGATAAATCAACTCAGTCAAAGTTATTTCAAGTCAAAGTTACACTAATATAATATAATAATAAAAATATTCTACTACATTCACACAACGCCATCTAGTCCCAAACTTTGCAGAGCTTGTACTATGGGTCCTAGAGAACTGATATACATACATACATATACTTTTTTTGTAAATACATACATATTACACATATAAACACCCAGACCAAATAGAACATTAAATGTTCATGCATACAAATGTTTGACTTGAGCGGGAATCAAACCCGCGACGTTTGGCGTAGTGGCAACCACTACGCCATCCGGCCTTTATGCCGTTTCACAAACTACTACACCACTAATCTCAATTCATTCATTCTCAATCTAGCCATTTTTCTGAATGATTTGGCAAAAAAAATATGTTTTCAGAAAGAACGCACGACTAGACTCATCAAATAGACACACAGACAAGACGTGACCGCAACTCCGCTCCTTTATTATAATATAACACACTGTGCAATAAAGTCATGGCGGCATGCTTTACATGATTATCTATTATGAACTAACATTTTCCTATTATTACATAACTAATAGGAATATAATTTTATTGTTTAACAATTTTAAACTAATACTTTCCGTCCATTATGTTTTATATATATTAAAATACATGCCCATTTAAAGGCCTGAAAAAATTACTGTCTTTGAGTTAAAGATAATTGTGTATGATTGATTACGGAACCCCTGGTAAACCCTTGGTAAGAGAATATTATTCAAGTAAAACCTAAAAACAAAGCTTACCATAGATTTTTGCGGATTAATTATTTTAGAAAAATATATATGTAAGTAATGATCCAAGCAAAGTGTTCCAATCCCCAAATAACATCGCGTATAAAAAATAAAATATAGGAACACTGAGAAATTGAACTTAAAAAATATTTTGGACGAGTGTGTTAATAGAAATGATTGTTTGAAACTATGCAAGAGTATTTAATACCTAGGATATTAATGGAATTTGATGGAAACAAATACACTGAAACAGTCAGATTGGAAAGAAAAAATGTGTATGACATGGATTCTTTAACACATTTTACTGCTAACTCTTTCTAAACCATGCATAGGTTTGATGCGGTTTGTATTTCATTAGATAATTTTTCAAGAAATATTCATATTCATATTATACAAAAACATAAATTTAGTTTTATTTAAGTAGAATAGAAAAACAAACAATATTTCGCAATCCAGTTGTCGACAAAATTAAATACATTTTATACGTGGCTCACCTACGTTATAACAAAAATGATGTACCTACTAACATCCGTACAAAGCCTGGTCTGCACTGATTCAGTAGAAAATATTGTGTTTATGAATGCGCATCTATGGTTTGGATGCAGCTTAGTAAGTATTTACTCAATTGAAGTTTGTAAAAACCCATAGGTATTACTCAATCAGATCCTAGAACGTTATAGAGAAGTTAATATATTTCTGTTAGAGAGGCGTGTACTATCATTACTTTCATCGCCACCTTTCATCAAGTGTGTTAATAGTTTAATTTCTATTCGACTACACAATAAAAAACTACTAACTCTGAAATCACTCGTATTCTTATACGCCAATGTATTATCGAGCCATGTGTATTACTATGTATCTTTAACTTTTCTTTTGTCTTTTGAATATACTGAATTTTGAATATAGTGATAATAGATGTTATTAAGTCTGGTATCGTGTGCGTTTATAACTCAGATATACGGCTCGAGCTCGAATGTTAGTAATTGCCTACTTAAAATTCAGTGCTTAGTTACCGACATCGCTGGCAGCTTTCGCTGATTTACAGTTGAAAGAATGAATATACATATTTTTACAACTGATATGCAATATTGTATTGTAATATCAAATGTGTATATTTTCATCATCGAAGGTCGAGCTGATAAAATTAACAACCTTTTACTTATCGCTTTATAGCTATTTCATAAAAACAAAAGCGAACAGCAGTTCAGAAGCATATTGTGCCATTATTAACCTGTCACCATTATAAGTCTGATTATTGTAAATAAACAAAGGAAATGATATCAGGTTCATCTTATTAGTATCAACAGGTTGAGTTTGCATTCTGGCTTTTCATGTGGGTGCTTTTTGGACTTTATTTAACTAGAACTTTTCGCTTGTTAACGTTCATAGGTATAGTTAAGTACAGTGTTGCTGCATCTCGTCAAACATTCGTTGCTCACGGCCGCTCAATAACTCCGATATATGTATATGTACCCTCAGCCGCCATAAATTATATGCTATCGATCCCGTTGCCAAGTCACGTTCAGGGTGAGTACAATTTCGGTTAAAGTTCTGTAGTAAAGTAGGCGTCGATTCGAGGCTACATGGCGTCTACGTGCTGGACTAGTACATAAGTAATATAGCTTTTTATATCGACCTTTGTGCAATAAAGTTAATCCAGGTCCTGTGTAGTGTAATATCGGGTGGGGTGTTCGGCGCGCGGGGCATAAACCGGCTGGCTCGGTGGCCACCTGTTCGCCGCACGGTGGCGCGCGCGCGCGCGTTTGCCCCCCTCGCCGCCCGTACGCCGCGCCCCGCGCCTCCCCCTGCACCCTCGACATCGCGCTGCGCGCGCTTCTCCCTTCTCCGACTCATTCGTTTCGCGACGCGTCGTCTCACTAGCCGGCTTCCGTTGAATTCGCCTGGGCTCATTCCTTTCGCGTCAGCTAGCCGCAACGCTCCGATTACAGCAGCTCTTAGCCCGTTTTCAAATAACTCCCAAAAATGACGGAAAGTACGGAAACTCCTGCAGCTGCAGCCCCAGAAAAAACTCCCACCGAAAATGGCACCACTGAAACTCCACCCGAGGAGACTCCCGAAAAGGCCACAGAAGAGAAGGAAAAGGTGGAGACCCCTCCACCGAAGGAAATGCGCGCTGTCGTGCTTACCGGTTTCGGCGGACTAAAAACTGTTAAGATTCTTAAAAAACCAGAACCAAGCGTCGGGGAAGGAGAGGTCCTCATTCGTGTGAAAGCATGGTAAGTCCTATTCATATTTTTATAGTAATAATTATAAATGGAATATAAATTACTTTACAGTTAAAAAAAAACTGTTCATTTTATTACTGTGATATATTTTTCTAAAGATTAGGGTAGTAACTCAAAATTAAATTACGTATAAACTATAATTAACCAGCTAGTTTTATCTTACTTCTTATTTATACTACTTATTTTTGATAGTATATCAATCAATTATTTTTTCGGTACACCTGCATTATAAGTACAAGCGATAACTTGCCAGTGTCTGTATAGACAAGCTGCGTTCTTTGGTCGCGTCTTGACTGTCATTAACATTTGCCTCCACCGGGATGCATGCACCCTACGCAACGGATTGAAATTTCTGCACGCACACCGGCACCCACTACCGATCGTGTGACGCGCCCTACAGCGGATTTACACTTCGTCGAACGCCGCCGTCTATAAACCGGCGACAATCTGCTACGCTCATGACTGTCTGTTTTAGCTTGTCTTTCAGTTAATGTAATGTCCATAGGCGTATTCTTTCATTCGATTTCGCCTATCGATTACTTATTCAACAGGCTATGGAAATTTGTTTTCAATCGGGACCAGCATTTCTGCATGAATGCGACCACCGGACCGCATCGCTGCGTAGACGCTGCGTGGTCAGTTGTAACAAATTAATGTTATTTTGTCATATGAAGCCCGAGCGAGTCGAGTTCGTACGAAAGGGAGTTGAGCGCCTACTGACATTGTTCTTTGTTCGCTTTTATCGCTTCAGTGCTTCAGATAATGCAACCGACGAGTCACGTCAGCTACCTACCTACTCCCAGTCACTACTTGCACCGTCAAGACTGGAGTTATCTGACACTTTTCTCTCATTATGTTAACTGTATGAAGTCAGCCCTTTGACAAAAATGACACTCAGGGAACTGAGAAATCATTTTTATTATACAAATAACAATAACGTGAGTTCAGAAGTCAACGACTTTGGCTCATTCCAATCATTTAAATAATCGCAATACATTTTATTATTTTAAACTCTCCAAAAAACATAGTAGTTCTCTTTCATATTAACAGGAATAACTGAAGATACCTGAAGCCCTCTCTTTTATATCCACTTCATTGATGTATCGTATATGCGTACTATGTCCATACACAAGTCAAAATTTGCAGAGGTCAGATATTTATAGGATTTAGGGAGAAAGAACGTCAAATGAAGAATCGTGCGAGGTGTGGAGATCAATAGCGAGGAGCAAGGCACAAGGCGAATCCTTGCTCTGCTAAATATAGCGCGCTTATCGTCGCCTTACTATATGTAAATGACCGCGACACACCCGACGCCATCTGCCGCAAAAATATTAACTGACTGGTTGGGTTCCGACCGGTACAAGTACAAGTTTGTTCTCTAGTTTTGAACTGCAAAAACGTGTGAGTTCCGCCTACATCGCCAATCGAAATGCCATACACGAGGAACGCCATTTTTCATAAGCTGTCAGGCTCGCATCGTAAAACTCATGTATTTCTCTCATTTTAGTCTTATTCTCTAAGGTCTTATTCATCCTTATTAATCTCTTTTCAACAAGTAAAAAGTCAACGTTTAATTAAAACCTTTGATCATAAATACATATATTCACACAATTTTCAAACATTGATTTTCTTAAGCGCGTGAAAGTTCCAATGTAACCAGAATTGTCATTTGTCTTCCAATGTTTAAATTGCTTCTTTCATATTTTAGACTGTTACTAACATTTTAGATTACCGAGTAATTCCAAACCTCCAGAAATGCGGTTTCCAAATAACAGCATTTGATTTAGGTATTAGTATAGAAGCTGTCTATGTCTTCTAACGCAAAAATAGCATTTTAAATCTTATTTTTATTTCAATATTTTAGTTACTCAATAGTTTCTATTTTAATACCCGTTTAAAAAACATTATTGTATACCTCTATCAAAATCTTTGTACCTACATATTTAATATTAAGATTTATTAAAACGATCCCAGTGTTAATTGTTAATGTCACCTACTTGGCAGATAGGGCTCCGATTTCAACTACTTCAGTTGGTTTAGTTCATATTTAAACTACATATAAATAATAGTTTAAAATGAAGTACCTACATTTTACATGAAGCTAAACATGTTCTGTACAAAATTTTCTGAATTTATTTGGAATTACTTTGATCACAATCAACTGTAATGGAGAAACAACAAGTTACAATTCATTTGATTTGTTTATTTTTATGTTACTAAGATTTAATTATTTTCCATTTAACCGTCAGCAATCTTTTAAATGAAATCGTATAAATTATTCAATCTATAAATGCTGAGAGCCTTTTAAGTAGGTTCATTTGTTTAAATAATAAAAGTATCCGATACTGTCAGTAATTGCCTTTTGACTAAGTCATATCAAAAGGATCCTTTAATTACGTTAATGTCGTACAACAGTATTTAAATGTTATTCTAAACTAGTTAACACTTGCATGTTAGTTTCACACTCATAACATTGATGTACGTTGTGACTCACGTTGTCATCATCAACAGCCTTTGACAGTCCACTGCTGGATATAGGACTCCTTAGAAAGGAGGGTTTGATCTTAGTAGATCTTAGTAGTGTGGGATAGTTCCCACACTGGCCAGGCGGGTCGGTATAGGGTTTGTTTCAAGTTTTCCTTCTCTTTGCATTGCTGTTGTCCTGAGTAGTTTACTCCCTTAGTCAGCTCTTACGACACACTCGGGGTGAATAGGGGTGGTGACACTCCGTAGTCTTAATCCGTCACACGGACTACCAAATTCTGTACGTTAGCAAATTATACAATGCAATATAATAGCTTTCGCCAGCATGGCTCTTGGTTCCCATTTAATATGTTTGTTAAAACATATCTGAATTTAATGTGAACATTGAAAGATACTACATACACCATTGAAGTTACACTTTAACTCGTTCAGCAGCTCGTTCAGCTGTTGCAGATGCCGCGCTACATTCTATCAAGCCTATCAAGCACCTATTTGGCTCGGCACCGACTTCAAACAGACTAGAAGGGACTATTCCTATTACAATGTTATATTGAGGGTACTTATTATAGCTTTTTTAACTTACATTTGTAATTACTTTTTTAATTTTTGGTGCTCTTTGTCAGTATTGTTTAAAGTCGGTTCAACTTTTTTTTAAAAGTATTTATTTACTGTACTGAGAACTGTAGTATGTGAGATTATATTAAATATAGATTAATAAGTCCGTTACTTTATTTAGATAAGGTAGTAAGATGTTACATTTGAACCCGAAAATATATTGTTTTCATCATTACTTAATTTTCAAAAACTACTAGTGGTATTTTTTCTTCACATTTGAATGGAACTAAAGGGGAAATATACCCTACAAAGTAAAAAATATATTTTTTAAATCGGTTTACAAATGAAAGAGTTGTGAGGTAACAAACATGAAAATAATTACGTAGCAAAAATTTTTTTTGCCTAAATGTTTTATAATCTGATATATATATATCTGGTGCACATGTCTCTGTAACCCCACACAAACACCTAACAAATATCTTGAAAGAATAAAACAAGGTCAATACATGATTAGATTTTTGAAATAGTTATTTTATAACTCCTAAAGGTCAAGGATCCTTCCATCATCATTCAGCTGAGCAACATGACATAACGACTGCTAAACGAAAATACCTATAAAGCTAGAGAAATAAGCTAAAACATGTTGTCGGGGTTGTAAAATTTGAGGGTTTCCCTTGATGTCTCTAGGATCCCATCATCAGATCCTGATTTGCTGGTAATGGGTGGTCCCATTACCAGAGGTGGTCCTCGGGAGCATACCCTTTCTATTACAAAAATAATTTTGAATGTCTGTCCACAATTAACGGAGACATCGCGCAACAAAGATACAAAAAAAAAATACAGACGAATTGATAACCTCCTCTTTTGTGTTTTTAAAGTCGGTTAATACTACAAAATGAATATGTGCAAATGGCAGCATTATCGCTTTATACCTATTAATTTTCATTTAAGAAAATAAAAAAATGAAAATCCACGTAGGTGTTATGGTTTGATTTATTAACGAAAAGCTTCTTTCAAGTATTTGTATCTTCAATTATTTATTTGTATGGCTATACTATTTTAATTAGTCTTGTAATATTTTCTCCAAAGCAATTTCTAAATCTTCTTCTTTCTAAACTTAACAAAATCGTAAACCTACTTGGTATCAAAGACACTTATATTTATGCTATTAATTTAATTATACATAATTGTTTATAATAAGAAATCCATCTAAAAAGAGATGTGATGCTAATAAATACAGCTATCGTGCAGTTGTCTGCCGACTGCTTTGGGCTAATATGTTTTGTGAGGGATTGAACCAATGAGTAACGCATCATTATTTTTCAATTAGGTCAAGTCAGTGTCGGTAAGAGATGTCTTCCGAGAACAATGGCTATACTCACGTCTGGTATAAGTGGCTTTCTTTTTTATAGGGAGAGTGCTTAATTGTATGTAGAGATGTTGGGAAACGTGGTGGTTCGACTTTTTATTTTTTATTTCAACCATATGTGTTGTGGCGTCTGGCCTACATCAATTTGAACACGAGGTTTTGTGTACTAAGCTATGAATATCATATGTATCAAGAATGCAGGGTATAGTTATCACAGCACGATTGTGGTACTTTTTGTATCGAAAGTGTGTGTTAATTGCTTACATCCTTTTCTTTGTTGGTGTATCAATTTAAAGCCTAAAAATAAAGTCTGCCCCTTGAGTACAGAGCTCTATGGTATAAAGTGCAGTATTGTGCATTTTAATGGGCCCCGAAGCCACATAAGATGGGAGAGATGAATTTGTTTATTACCCTCTTCCTTATTGAGAGCGTCTGCATAAGATAGCTCTCTTCCTATGAGTCACTAGAAAGTTATGTTCTTGAGCTAACTCGATTCAAATAACTTGTAACCTGACTGCAAACGAGTGGGTAGATTCGCTTCTTGCAACTACGTACAGTACTGGACCCTGGGTACTGGTGTGTAAATGATACGTGATCGTCTGTGCACCCACGTGAACGTCTAGCTTACGGTACAAAGGCAGCCATAATAAAAATATAATGTTCAATTAACTTCTTCACGCCAATAATGTTCAAGATGAAGATAGGGGTATATTGTGTCACTATTATAATGTTAGTATTATAATGCATTGTACAGTCCCTTTATTAGTTATGAATAGGTTAACAGTGATACACTTTATCCAATCAGCTTTTTGTGTTTCAAGAATTCTTTTTAGAATCAAATCTACAGACATACCGTAATTATATGTTAAACAAAGATAGTTCGTGTTATAATAACAACAACAGGTATTATTATATTCATATACAATGTATAATAACATGTTATCGTTGGCGTGACCTGGGGGATAGGCGGTCATACATCAATCAAACATGATGAGAGACAGCGGTTCTACACATTCACGCTCCGTACCATCAACTACGAAACTTCTTCTCAAACAAATTGTTTACCGTTATTTTACTTTATTAATAATAAATTAGTCTACATGAGTAGACGCGATGCGTCACGACCTTATTCCCGTATACTTGCATCGTATGTAGTTAACTTATACAGATGATTCAGCTGAAGTTAGGCTATCGTAACTGACTCACTAACAACATAAATAAAGAGTTCACCACATTGTGATAATTTTATGTTTTGACGTTGGAATGGAACGTTTCATTTGGGGAACTGTATTCGATAAGGTCTTATTGATATCCCTGGTGCCTTTCTTGTCGTTATCAGCTTTACTTTTTCAATATACCATCTCTTTTTATCTAGCCTTGGCCACAAGTAAATGTTATCAAGGAATGTAGCTTCTGATAAATGAAAATACGAGCTTAGACGAAGCATTAGATTACAAACTAGGAGCTGTCGGAAGCTGCAACATATGTTGTCTCTATAAAATCCTTCGTCGGACAGCAGATGCGGCAGGCGGGGTCGCTGCGTCCCAGCCACCGCCGCCGCCGCCCGCGGGCACATTGTTCGCGGAGTCAACGAACTTACGAAAATGCTCGTTCGCTTATTGTGCCCATAATCGAATCAAGTTGCTGCTGTATATGGTAGTAAACACGTCGCATACTTTCATCTTTTGACAAATAAAACGCTCACGACGACATATAAACCTCCAATACTTTCGACAAGTATTACTCGAAGCAGAAATCTTTATGAATGCCTTATTGAATATTAATCTTCAATCAATGTTGCCAAGAATATTTTTCCCTGGGTGCCTTTTTTTTCCTAATATCGAAGGATAAAAGGGTGTTTTGCCCTTGTTGGTATCTTTAGTTTTCTATAACGATATTAACAGCCATTGCTTACGATCTCGAATAATCTAGCAAATTGAATTGGAAAATCCCGTGAGTCGATGTATAAAAAAGGGGTGTGGTTTTACCCGGGTGTCGGCGATGTGGAGTGCGTCAGGGGTAGGCGCCGAAGGAGGCGGGGGTGAGGGTTGCGAGTGCCCGTGTAATGTCTGGCGAGGGCCGGGGTCGGGGGCACGGAGCGAGCGCCGGATCGATACAGCGCGTCCCCTACCCGCGCCATGCCGCCCGAACAATCTCCGCAGGCCTTACGTCTTTCGACGCCAATGCTTGTTTTTTTTATAGCTCCCATTAACCATGCTCTTCGATAAATGAATAAAAGCATGTGTTGGTATTTTAACCCAGCTGCGTCTAGCGGTAGTAGCATTTTATTTTGGTTTATTGTTCACATACTGATGTCTCTGTTAAAAAGAGGTAGTTAAATGACTACTTTTCCCATGTTTCATATTTTTGACAACTTGCATTGAGATAACTGACAAACTTATGAAACTCCCAACATAACATCACATTAATACGATTGATTCGATTTACGGCAATAACAGCTATGAAATCTAACTCGACTTATTATTGGAACAAAACAAAAAATATTTCTTCAAATTGTCAACAGCGATGCCACATGTCACAAAATTGTCACTAAGATTTAGCGTGTGACTACTGGGTATACTGTGTAGGTACATATTTTATAGTTCTAAATTAAAGATAGACAAATTAAAATTCAATTATGAGAAAATTTATTTTGCTGTTAGTGTATTATTCAAAAGCTCTTAACTAGGCTGTACGAGGATCGTAAACGTATTTAGAGTATAAATTCCTCTAGTTGAACTGAAAATCTATATTTAGTTAGGTTGAAGTAAAAGCACCCTCCTTCTGAACCAACACGCCCTAATGCTTCATCGTTCCGACACTCCGACACCTTTTTTTGCTTGCCAACATTTGGGTCGGCCACTATATGATATTCCGTTTATTACCCTACGTCTCGTATGCTGTTAAATGTATACGACTTTTTTGCCGCCCGCATGTGTTCCGTGTGAGGGTCTGTAACATTGATTTCGTTTATAACTTTGTTAGTTTTACGGTTACAGTGTAATGTGCTAAAGATTTTTGTTTACTTTCTCATTTCTGTTGTTAACTTGTTTTTACTTTTAAAATCGTTGTTTCACTGTAAAACTTATGTCTTTGGACGTAAAAATGATTAGATTGAAAGTGTCTAACACTGTAAAAGGTTTATATTTAAACAAGGGATCGGGATTAAAGTCCCTTAGAAATCTGTCTTAAGACTACGAAGTTCTATAAAGTATTTTCAGTAACTTGCTACTAGCATCTTTCCTCCTTTGATGGTCTTACTTCAAGATTTGACTTTTGTCACTATCCTAATACCCAAACTTCGTCGGTGAAACTAAAACCAGCGGTGTACGCTCTTGATATTTTGATAAACTGATATCAGTTATTGCTAAACTGTAGGTACCTATAATGTATGTGCAGCATGAAAATACCTTTTGGATCAGTGATTCACATAAAAAATTCTCTTGTTTGACCACAATGTTATCGTGTAGGTATAATATAATTTCTTTATCGCTTAAGAAACAGATAACGACTTATATGATTGCTTTCTTACTCAAGTCACCAAATCATTTACTGTCACAATAGCATATCCGTACGAAGGAATGTTTAGTAAAACCAAATATAAGAATAGTACAAACAGATATGAAATGTTGACTAGAATGATTAGTTTTTTTCTTAGCAACGACTTGGACCGGAAGAGGCGATCTCATAAAAATACAATAAAATAAGTGTTGTGACTGTGTTCAAAACGAAGTAACATTTTCTTTTCATTCACGAAATCTTAAGAGGTATCTAAGACTACTTAAATTAAAAGCATCTAGAGGTTTTTGAACTCTAGATGCAATATATGTGAGTATAAAATTTAGAGCTATTATCGGTTGTTGTGTAACACTCATTTTGAAACTGATAATTGCTTGGTTCTGAATCAAATGCTTGTCTGTTGTATAGAGCACGTTAATACGGGTCGGTGCCGTACACCTTTGATGTAGGTATTACAGATAAAATTATCCTCCTAGTATGAGTTTTACAATTTAGCTGTGCGATGGACGTGAAATATTATATCATCTAAAGGATGTGTTGTTTCTAAAAAGAGTAAACCTATTTCATTTTATTTAAGTTATTATAGTAGGCCCCCACAAAGTGGTCTCGGAAGGCCTCGGGAAGACGTTGGATGCGAGCAGCACAGGAACGATTGTTGTGGTGAACTTTGTCTGTAATTAGACTAGACCTGTTACTTTAACTCTTCCTTAGATTTAAGTACTTATAATTATGTAATCATAAATACATGTAAAAGTTTGTCATGAAGTAGTTGTAGAATATGCAATTAATCTTATGTTCATTAAGGAATTAATAAAATGATAAAAGTAATTTCTCAACAATGTATAAAATGTCTGAACCGGTCTTAATGACGAGTCAATTGAAATTATTTAGTCACCCCAAGCTGTACGTTCAGTCATCTGCGGAATGCAAGCTCACTTCCTGGGTAGACAATTAAAGCGGATGAATGACGTGCGGTTCAAAACATTACGAACATGGACCACCATTAGCATACAAGTGACTAATGAGGTCGCTAATACTCATATATTACGATCAGGTTCGTCCGTCGTTCACCATAACATTGTACATACTATTTTTGTTTACGTAATTTTATGCGAGAATAATTGTTTTTTAAATTCTCAAGCAGTAGATACAATGAGATGAGACTGCCAATCATTTCTACTCATGCACATAACTATTTTTAATGTAGTGTATGTGTTGACAAGATCAAGTTAATACAGTTTTGAAATTTACTGCGTTATTATGACTCGTGCCTCACACCTGAAAGTCAAAGTTCGGTCAAAATTCAGATCCGATCAAATCTCGATCTCGCAACTGTCATAATAGGTATTTTCGTATTAAAATAGTAAGTAAATTACATATTACTAAGACTAACAGATTACCGATAGAATTTTCGGTTACAATGCGATATACTCATATTACAGGCAATGTTGGATGTTCAATAATTAATTACGAAAATACCTTTAATGACAGCTGTGAGATCGACAGTTTATCGGAACTGAATTGTGACTAATCTTTCATTACGAGAATCGGCCTACAGGAAATAAACTTTTCAAAAATACTAGATAACTGTAATAAACATTACTAGATTTTTTTAAATAAATCTTGTAGAGTCTAGTGTATATCACACACAAGTGACTCGAAATAGGGGCCGGCCAACCGCTGTCTGGCGGGTACGTTTCTAGACAGCTACGACCGTCTAGTCGTAAACTCACCACTTCCCAGCCACATCCTCGCTTCGCTTTCTAGCTGGCAGTCCTAATACGTTGGCATACTTCACTTTAGCTACTAAACTTCAACTTCTGACAGTTTTTTTCAGTTCAGTCTTTCTCAATTTTTTTAACTTCTACCTTTAATTTACAAATCCTAGGCTGGTTCGTCGGTTAGGCAAGAAAATTACCTAGTGGTTCATCCTGGTTAATGGAGCGTTCACCTTGCCCCAGTAGATGGCCTCTGGCCTCTGTGGCTATAAATGATTATAAATATTGCGATTTTAACATAATCCAATATAGCTGTGTCTGTACAGACTGACTGTGTTCGTATAAAAGAAGGTTTATAAGGCCAAAGTGAACTGCTTTTTTAGGACACTTGTGTCATAGTTATTAAATACAGTTATCGAAGGAACGTAGGCCATTACGTTCTACTAGAAAGTATAGTTTTAGTGCAGCCTGTATACAGACTGATTTTGGGGTAGCGGATTTGATTTTGCTCAGACGAAATATTTCTATAGAAAAAAATATATTCATTTGCTCAGTTGTAATTGTTTCTATCATCTGTTTAGAATAAAAAACCTTAAAAGTATGTTTGGACAACGTGTTTTCAATCCATAGTACATTAGAAACGTGTAATATAATTTTTACAGTTCAGTTCATAACGTTTATAAATGTACGATTATCTATAGGTTACAGGACTAACGGCGCATTAAATACTTCAGTAATGAAAGTGTTCCAAATTCAAAAACCAAAACGAATGCGGTTCAGTAATTCCTGCGGTTAACTAAAAATGCTTTCGCTCATTATTTCATTAATGAACGAGACCATTACAGGAGGAAAGTGAACATTAATTAGAAATGTCATATAAATGGCATTTGGAGAGGGGTGCATTAATCACTGTCTGGTATTATCACTATCAGATAATGCCAGCTATAGTACCGAATGAATGAATTATAGCGGGAGAATGATAGTAAATTGGGTGTCACACCCTGCTGGATCTCCTCGTAGTCCGAACTCATTGATCGGAAGTCGATAGCTTCGTCACGCATGTCACGGTATTCATTCTGGTCAGCTCTGTGCCCGCTAGCCGGATATCATCGCTTTTATAAAGCGCCTCAATTATTCCTTCCGAGCCTTTGATAGCTACGCTCCGTAACTGCTAGTCTATGAAAGGAAATGCCGTTTCGATAATATCATAATACTGTTTCGTTTTTCTTTCCCCAATTTTTTCTACTTAGGTTTTTAAAACTTTTATTTTACTTCTAACTAAATGTACTTAGCTACACACAAGGCAATCATCCAAAGACACGCTTTGGATGATTGCCTTTTGTCCCACCTTCCTATCTTATAAAAAAGATCTTGTTATTCTAGTAGTCTGGTTAACTCTTATTTTCTAAATAGTGGTGTTTTTCCAGATTGGATTAGATCGGATGTCAACTAGAATATAAATCTTTGAAGAATCACTCAAAGAAAATTTCGTTAAATTAAGAAACTCTAAGATCTAAGTGGCGTGCAATGGGAGAGGCCTATGTCCAGCAGTGGACTGCGATAGGCTGATGATGATGATGATGAAGAAACTCTTATTTGTTCAACATATATTCTACAAATCTGACTATATTTCCAGTTTTATAATTGTATTTGTTTTACAATTTAATGCTTTTTACATAACACCGTTTAGTCCCAAACTAAGCAGAGCTTGTACTATACCCATACTAGACAGCTGATATAAATACATATATACTTTTTTTTATACATTCATATTATACATAGAAACATTCAGATCCAATCAAACATTAAATGTACATGCACACAAATGTTTGACTTGAGCGGGAATCGAACCCGCGACTTTTGGCGTAGCAGCAACTACTACGCCATCCGGCCTTCATGCCGGCTAACATAATAAAATTTATTTTACTTAGTTTGAGGAGCTGTCAGACTTTTTTTGCATTTTTTGACGGTGTGTAAAAATACTTTAAGCGATAAGGTCGCCCTTTGTAAACACATCAACTTTTTACTTTTGAGCAATCGGTAAATC